AGTCTTCGCTGAGGCCATCTTCCAGCCTCAACCACGGCGAATGAAGCTCTGCACAAGACTTTTGGCCAGCGGAGAAATTAAAATGGTCGTGGCCAACTGAGTCTGGTTCTCTCAAGGTTTTTTTTCTTCACTCCCATCAGGTGAAGTTTTTTTTTCCCCTCTCCGCTGTCGCCACTGCCTCGCATGGTTCAGGATTGGTAGAGCTACGCATCTATGAATTTGCTCTTCAGTGTTTGAACTCTCAGTAATGATTAAATCACACTGAACTGAGCTAAACTGAACTGAACTGAACTTAAACACTAAAACCTGAACCACACTGTTCCAGTTACTATGACCATTTATGTGAAGCTGCTTTGACACAATCTACACTGTAAAAGCGCAATACAAATAAAGCTGAATTGAATTGAATCATAAAAACTGATGTATCGCTTGAGAAAACTAAATCAAGTACCTCCTGTGAACAAGCACAATCATCATGCCATTGTATTCAGTGGTTCTCTTTTAAATTTTTTCCCCACTATGAAACCCTTCAATGGGTAATCCATGTTAAGACAAACTGAGTCTACTTATGACATAAAATAACCAATATTAAACCAAGCTTACAGTTTCCAGGCTGTTTGAAAAAAACAAGCACGCCCAGTAAAATTGCTAATAAATACAAAGACTACAGTTATAGTAAAAAATATGTCTAATTTTTACTTAGCATTTGATAGCCAAACAGCCTAGCCATGGTTGTTTTATTAATTCATTCATTTTATTTTCGGATTAGTCCCTTTATTAATCTGGGGTCGCCACAGCGGAATGAACTTATACAGCATTTGTTTTATGCAGCAGATGACCTTCCAGCTGCATCCACACACACTCATTCACACTCATACACTACAGACAATTTAACCTACTCAATTCACCTGTACCACATGTCTTTGGACTGTGGGGGAAACCGGAGCACCTGGAGGAAACCCACGCGAACACAGGAAGAACATGCAAACTCCACAAAGAAACGCCAACTGACCCAGCCGGGGCTCGAACCAGTCACCTTCTTGCTGTGAGGCGACAGCACTACCTACTGTGCCACTGCCTCGCTACTGGAAGAAAAATAGGTTGTACATGAAACTCCTCACATCAAATCTGTGAACAACTTGACATTTCAAAATTTACAAAATGAGGAAGACATCAACATTATCTTAAATAATCAAGTGAGGAGAGATTGGTAGCATCAGTTTTTCAACATCAATTGCTGTAGCTGCAAAAAAGATACATATAATAATAGTAAAATAAGACTTAAAATTTAATAATCTAAATTTATGGTACACCCATACCAGTCTGTGTGGGGTTAAAACTAAATTTGTATACAAATCATTCCTTACACCTGAACATCAAAAATAAAATGTACAATTAATGATGCACTATACAATGAGCTCATTAACCAGTGAGAAATAGACAATTAATATGAATTATGTTTATATTAACGTTAGCTTAAAAGACATCAACTGAATTTTATTATCAGCTCAATTTAATGAAACAGTTTAGACTTGTTTCATTGTGAGTTTAGTTTAAATACTAACTTACAGTTTACAGTTTAACCATAATGATAACTTAGTCATAATGACCACGTGAAGACCAGAGCTTACCTTAACGTTAAACGTTTAACTTTTCATGGTGACTTTGCCTTCATCTCAGTTTTGTGCTGAAATAGAGAAATGCAGTAAACAACACTAAGTAAAAGTTACGTTTTTTTTTATCAGGTAACATTACTATGGTCAAAAACCCACTCAAGATAAACTCACTGTATGTTATCTAATAGTTACCTCGCAAACACTACAATCACGGTCTGGCGTCGAATTACGTGACATAAGAACCTACAACAAAGGTAACTTGGTTAATTATTTTAAATTACACACACTACACAGAAATATACACAAAACAATCCTTTAACGGACAGAATTTAACTTTGAAACATTTACCGAGGATGAATTCACTGGAAGAAAAGGCGACAGGTGGATTTCAAATAAGGAGAGCCGTTGCTTGCCTGGTGAAGGTCGAATCGAGTCAGCTCGGTTCTATGAATCGGCTCCTTAGAACAGTAAAGAGTCGAATCCGCCTAAAACCGATTCCTTTTAGTATATTATTGAAAGACACAACAATGAATCATTACTATTTCGTTATACTGCTCGGCCATACGCATTTATACACTTAGTGCATATTGCTGAATATGCTTGTGAACACGTGTGATAAAATAATTCAAGCATAAACCGAGCAAACGGTTCAAACCGAACCAGTGCAAACGTGATATTGATTAAATAGTAATATTGTTTTTTTTTTGTTCACTTTACCAGCGAAAATATTACATATATCTGACTTTAACAATAAGAATAAGGTTCGCTTGAAGTGTTTTGAGAATTAATATTTTTTTCTCCCAGAATTCATTTCACACCAACAAGCAGTAACTGTTAGTAGGCTAATGGAGGAAACAAAAAACAAACAAACTGTATTTACTATTGTGCAGCTTCACAAAAAAATGAAACTATATTTATGTTTACATTCTCAGTTCCCACAGTAGTAATAGCATTACTTATAATAATCTACTTGTGGTGTAAGTCTCCCCCATTAAGGTCTCCCAACTCACCCCACTGCTAGGATCGTGTGCTCTGGATTGTGTGTCCTGAAAAGTGTTTCACATTCCTATTGGGTTGTATATGTCTGGATGCTTGGGTGTTGTGTTTCATCCAGCCTGGCCATTTGTTTGCTAGATTGGTGAGGGTAACAATCAATTGTGTGTCTGATTCCACTCAGTCTTTAAATATCTAAATATGTGAGAGTATTTAAAGGAACAGTTTGTAAACCTTTGGTAAACTGTTTAGAGCTGGACGTAGTTTCGTTGAAGTATGATTTAGGGGTGCAATTATAATTTACAATGACATGTTCCTTGATGGGCGATGTGGTGGCGCAATAGGTAGTGCTCACAGCAAGAATGCAAGAATGTCACAGCAAGAATGTCGCTGGTTCGAGCCTTGGCTGGGTCAGTTGGCATTTCTGTGTGGAGTTTGCATGTTCTCTCCACGTTCGCGTGGGTTTTCTCCAGGTGCTCCGGTTTCACCCACAAGTCCAAAGACATGCGGTTTAGGTGAATTGGGTAAGCTAAATTGTCCGTAGTGTATGTACTGTATGTGAATGAGAGTGTATAAATGTTTCCCAATGATGGTTTGTGGCTGGAAGGGCATCCTCTGATTAATATATGTGCTGGATAAGTTGGCGGTTCATTCAGCTGTGGTGACCCCAGATAAATAAAGGGACTAATTCAAAAAATTAATGAATGAATGTTTCTTTATAACAGACTACTAATAAAAATAAATAGTTGTATTAATTAAAAGTATATATCTATTTTCACTAATGAGGACACAAATCATTCTGGCGTAATAATCAAGAAACGTTGCTGCTACCATGGCTGCAGCAGGCACAATTACATTAGATTCTGACTGGAGGTGCAAGGCTTGGTGCTGGGAACTTTTCAGAGACTGCATAATGTTATATTATAGCTGTTGCAGCCATGATGTTGTAAAATAAAACTATTTAAAAAATAAAAAGTCTTAAAGGTTCATATTGCTAAAAATATTTATAGCATTACAGCTAATTCGACTTACAATTTTTATCTATTTACAGAACAGAGCACAATTAATAACCAAATCAGTAAGATAATAATTCAATTCAGTTCAATTCAATTCAATTTACCTTTATTTGCATAGCCCTTTTACAATGTAGATTGTGTCAAAGCAGCTTCACATAAAAGATCATAGTAAATTAAAACAGGGTAGTTCAGTTTTCAGAGTTTAAGTTTAGTTCAGTTTAGCTCAGTTCAGTGTGGTTTAATAATCACTACTGGGCGTCCAAACACTGAAGAGCAATCCATCGAAGCGCAGCTCTACAGATCCCAAACCATGCAAGCTAGTGGCGACAGCAGCGAGGAAAAAACTTGACCGATTGGTGAAAGTGAAAATAAATAAATAAATAAATAAATAATACCAATACAATTAATACAAATAAATAAAATTGAAACATAGAATAGACACACAAACACAAACAATTTATGATTCTAAAATTTCTTCAAAATCAGAATATTGTTCAATACAAATTGAATATTTACATCTTCTCCTAATAAACCAAAGAAAAAACAATTTTTTAGGAAATTAAGAGGACAACTTGAGAGAAACTTTTAACCATTCGAATGAATTAGACCAGAAGGTTCTACTATATACAGTCAAAAATAAATGTGCAGTCGTTTCAATGTCAACCTCATAGAATGTACAGTTGTTGTGATTAAATTAAATTCATTTGTAAGAAACTCTAAAGATGGGTAAATATCTTTGAGTATGTTAATGTGTACTTCTTTAGCTTTAGGAGGGGAATGAAGGAAACATGTTGTTTGATGTTGCACCTTAAACATTGTTCCGTTTTACTGTGTACTGTACTGTATATTGTTGAAATGACACACAAAAAATAAAAATAAAAAAGCCAACTTGACTAATTCGATAATAGGGCTCTTGAAAAAAAAACACATTGTTTCTGCTAGCTTGTATTGGAAATATTGGTAATGTTAAAAACCATTAAAAAAGTCCAATGCCACAAACATGAAATAGTTAAATAATGCTCTTAACTCTGCGCGAAGTTAAACAGTTCAGTCTCTCTGCAGCCACAAACACATATTACGACTCTTTTTTTTTTTAAATGTAATGACATGTTTAGGAATAATAATGGCGGTATACTGCTACAAACGGACTTTAAATTACATCAACATGTCAAACTCCTCAGTGCAAATAAGCAAACAACATTAAACTAGCCCATAATGAAAGTTATCTACAAACGGATGCTCAGTAGTACATGATAAACGTTATCTCTGGCCAAGTCTCTCTCTGGCTGATTTTGCAGGCAGGCTACTGTAAACGTGACCGTGATCTGATTGGTTATGGAGATACTGGCGTGGGTGGACCAATAATAGTAAACAAATCCTGTGAGCGCATGCGCAGAGCTTGAGTGCTGATGGAGGTTTGTCAGAAGAAGCATCTGCTGTTAGCCAAACATCTATACGAAGGTTAAGGGAAGTTATTAGGGTTTTGTTTGACAAAGTCAGTAAGTATTTTTAAATTAACTACTCTTTATTTTCTATATTTGCACATTTTAGTGATAATTTGCTGTTTAAAATCGATGTAAATTTTGATGAAGTTGCTAGCTCCGTGGAGCTAACCGCTGCACTTCCATTACAGTAACCAACTGCTAGTTTCCCAAGTTAACGTATGCGAGTTTCATGTTATATGTATTATTTGAAAATGGTACATGTTGCACGGACAGTGGTGAACTTTGCATAGTTTTGATCTTTTAGCTTATAACGATGCTTTTTGTACGTGCTAATGTTTACCTTTGGCCTAACTCGTTAGCCTAGCCACACGACTTTTAAAGAGACGCAGGTGTCGGCCAATCAGCATCAGACGTTTTTGATATGAGGCGGGGCGTGCGAATGGGCGTGACGTGTATTGTGTACACACTGTACGAGAAGCCTGTTAGAAAGTGTTTTTTTTTGTCCACTGTCATTACCATATAAAGCCTTATTGGCCGTTTTTCATGGAAATGTTTCAGCTGTAGATTGCTGTCTCGTGTGGTTTGGCGTTTTAGATAAATCTGAAACATTTGGTTTTTCACGTTTATGCGATGTTGTATACACTAGTAATCCTTTCCGTGGTGTAAAATAATCCACTATCACTGTCCGTCTGATTATTCATGTATTATCAGTGTTCCGCATATATCAAATATCCCTTATATTTCAGTTGAACTAAAACCTTGTTAAAACTCACAGTTGATGTGTAAACAAATGATGCAGATTAGTCGTGTGTTGTTATTTTTATAAACATGTTTCGTGTATTTTATTTAGGTTTACTATATTTAGTTGAAAATATGTTATTTTTTTATGGTATTTTAACTATGTACATGTAAAGGGTGAACATATTTGGGGGTAGGCATAGGGCGATAATGATTTCAAAGGGGGGATCGGTGGCATGGCGTGGCTGTTCAGACTGACACCTTCATGGTGTTAATTCTTTTCTTTAATGACAGCAGTAAAAAAACTGAACAACTATTTGAACTGTACAAGATAAAAAAAAGAACTTTTTTTTTTTTTTAACCTTTTTTTTTATCCACAAAGCGTGAAGCTTTTGTCACTGCAGTGTATCCTAATGGGCTTCTGGAAGAACATTTCAAGTACACTACTAGTACATTGATATTAGTATGCTTACTACTTAAAGTTTACTTTTATACTTGACCTTTCTTAAGTATATTTCTTTTTCTTAAGGGTGCATTTACTGACTTGCGAAGATCAGTCTTGTACAGCGAGGGGGAGTATTGCCGCTCTAACTGCCAAGTTGGGTCAAAGCTAGGGATGCTCTGATCAGGACTTTTGCAGCCAATATTTAGTACCAATTCCTTGTCATGGTGATCGACTGATACTGAGTACCGATTCTAATGCTTCAAGCTTTATAATGCATTGAGCACATTTTCCTTCTAAGTATGAACTTGCCTTACCAAAAAGAATAAATCAAGGATTCTGCATATAATACCTTAAACACGTCTCTTTAGGTGTGAACGTTTTATGGCCAGAAACAGATTTACCGAAAATAATTCATCCATTCATTTTATTTAACCTAATATACGTAATGCTTAGACCATCATTGCTCATTTACTCTAGTCGCCATGATTCCCGGCTATTTTAACTCAATTTGGGTGATCGTGAAGCCGTTATAAATTTGCGGGAGACTCGCGGAGCTTCCGGGAGAGGTCAGAAGGTTGGATGAAATGCTCCAATAAACTGTAAATGTGTCGCACTGCGTCTGTATATATTTTAGCTGCTGTGACAAGCGCATGCGCCCACACATCATTTACCTGTGTTATATGGCTGCAGAAATTTGTAATCTCGTAACCATGTAGAGACAGAAATCGCATGCCGTTGTGTAAATAAGATATTACGTTCGACCATTTTGCTTGTTTATTGAAAGAAATTGTAATCTGGCGCTATGTATAAAACACATTTAACTTGACTTCAAGCGAGGGCGGGGAAAGCCGTTAGTAGGGTGGGGCGCCCCCCTAATATAATGGTAGTGGAAACACTGAAGTTTTTTTTTTACTCAGACATTTAAACAGAACATATTTTAGAGCAGTAATGGCAATACCGTGATATTTTTATCCAAGGTTATCATATCGCCAGAAACTTCTACCGGCCCATGTCCATTTGAGGGAAAGAAATATATAAATTTGTACATATAATTATAATTTTTTTTTTAATGATTATGAAGCTCCTGTATAATTTCAGTCTTTTGATAATACAGTCTGTTTTATTTTAGTCCTAATAACATTTGTCTTGCAGGTGTTAAGGACTCGGTCAGCCAAGATGGCATCTGACATGCCAGTTTCCAGGGGTATAATGACCTTTCACCCCACCGTTGAAGAGTTCAAGAACTTCAGCCGCTACATTGCGTACATGGAGTCACAAGGTGCACACAAAGCAGGCCTAGCCAAGGTTAGTGTGGAACACTACTCTTTTTCTGATAAGGTCACTGCTTATTATGTAGGGCTGTGTGTTTTGGGGACAATATGGATTTGCTATGTTTTTATTTTTTGACAGATATTGCCATTTGATTTTGTAGTCATGATTTAGCTCAATAATTCTGTAAGTCGTGGCAACAATTCTGTGACAGTTCTTAAAAATGACCTGTTTTTGTTTGATGTCTCTGAGTTTAAAACCAAAATATTCCCAAATTACCAATGCTGTTTTTCTTTGATATCTTTAAATCATACAGTCCTATTATTAGAACTGCACAAAAAATAGTTTCTTTATCGATATCACAATGTGCGTGATTCTGCAGTAGTTGTATTGCATGTTGAAATGAGAGCATTTCAAGAGTGTTTAATACATTCAGTCAGGAAATGTTACCGTAATAAAATAACATTTTATTTTGATGGTCCATTTGAGTGATTATTTTTCATTTACTTATTTTTTTGTAAATTTATGCATTTATTTTGATTCAGTAAGTAATGTATTTTCTATTTAAGCCACTTGAATTTATTTAAGGCTATCCCAAAAGGCTACCATGTATTTTACAGTTTTTAAGCCCAGTATCTCAATGAATCTGAATTGACGATTTTTCCCCCAAATAGACGTATTCAGGCCATCTGGTAAAACTATTCATAATGCATTATATATGGCAGAAAAACCAAATATCACATTGTCTGATTATTTTTAATATCATGCAGCCCTACTGCTTAGGTCTTTAACAAAGCTCTGTTTTTGCGCTCCACCACAGATCGTCCCACCGAAAAACTGGAAGCCTCGAGGTTCTTATGATGACATTGATGACCTGATCATACCTGCACCGATTCAGCAGGTTGTGACTGGGCAGTCGGGGCTGTTCACTCAGTACAACATCCAGAAAAAAGCCATGACTGTGAAAGAGTTCCGCAAAACCGCCAACAGCGACAAGTATGTTCTGTTCAACTTGTTACTTGTTTTCCTGAAGAAATTGATCGTGACACCATCTCTCCTTTATGTTTAAGGTTTTGCAGTCCTCGATATGATGATTTTGAAGAACTCGAAAGGAAATATTGGAAAAATGTAACCTTTAATCCTCCCATCTATGGAGCTGATGTGAATGGGACACTTTATGACCCGGTGAGTAAACGCTTGTTGAAGTACTAATTAAATAAAAACGAACCATATTATTTTGTTGCTTTCACTCCAGTAATGAATTATATTGACTTCATTACATTTACTTGAGTAGAATTGTTAAGTAACGTGTACTTTTTGAGTACATTTAAAAATGTGTACTTTTACTCAAGTAAATTATTTGAGAAAAGTGTTTACTCTTGCTTTGCTACATGTGGTGGCGTTCCTCCGTTACTGACAAATGATAATAAATATGATTTATATGACTTATTTGCAAATATCAAGAGGCACCGCATTGGAGAGGTTGTGTCATGAGAGGTTGTTATAGAGATGCGTCTCCTTCTTTTAGTTAGAGCGCATGTGCCTATGTTGGAATGATGGCTGAAGATGTGAGAGTTTATTGGACCAGGTCACCCGCAGCCTTAAGTTCAGCATACGTTTTCGCTTCAAGATGTCAATTAAAATAGTTTGATAATGCAATGCACGCTGTACATAAAACTGACATTGCAACATGTACATGAACTACACCTCCAACCTGAAAAAAACATGTAGTGGTCAGTGTCAAAATTATCCCAATTTTAAACTTATTAAAGAGCCTCTATTTTACATTAAAAATGGTCATATTTTGGTTTGAAAGGTCTCTAGCAACAGGCTGATATGCATGCAAGGTCAAAAAACACTTTTATTGTTTTATAATATGCAACTTTTTACCTAAATATCTCAACAACTCCCATATGGTTTGTTCATTTGTTCCCAAATTCCTCCTTAGTGCAACGCTAATCTGCGCTGATTGGACCGATGACAGCCTGTTGCGATTGGTCTACAGCGTTCAGCACGAATCAGAGTGAAATGCCCAGCACGGCATATCAACAATATTGAAGTAGTCAGAGTGCATAGTGTATGTGTGAGCATACCTGCCAACACTCCTGTTTTTCCCAGGAATCTCCCGTATTTCAGACCCATCTCCAGCCACTCACTCATTTTGTTATTTATCCTGGAAAACTCCCGTAATTACAACCAGTCCTCAGCATTTTGGCACAGTCTTTGAAACCCTCAGGTCGCAAACATCAGTATAGGATCAGATTGCAGTGGCTGCTCAAAACACGCTTCATAGTAGTTACTAACAACACAGTGAACAGTTCCCGGTTCTCAACAGTGTTATTCAGACACCTCACCCCGAACCTAATTTCCCTGGTCTCCTGAATTTTCAGGGACAAATGTTGTGTGAGCCCAATGCAGAAGTGCAATAAAGCAATGCAGTTAAACACCAGCATATTGCTCTATTCTTAATTATGATACACATGCAGTATTAATCCACAAAGTGCCAAAAGCTTGAACTATTTTGAACCTTGACCGTTACACGTGTGTAAGAACAGCTGACGGTTGCTATAGCAAAGACAAACAGCAGTGAAATGCAAGCTCACAAACGCATTTAAATCCGTAAACAGTAGCACGCGTCATGTTTTCAATGTTGCTTTAGCTGCAATATGAGAATATGAAAAGTTAATTAGATACAGGGTTACAATTAACAAAACACAATTAAATACATAATTTGCAAGCTAGAGAAAACAAGGAGACAACCATTTTAATCGCACTTACTTTCACTTGTGAAATGGAGGAAGAAACTGATGCATGATCCACTGATCATGTACTAATAAAGTTCCTGTCGAGTTCTGACACAGTCCCATACATTAATAGTCTTTTCTGATTTTTCCTTTTACAAGCAGCCCATGAATCCTCCATTGTAAACGTGTAGATTCCAGAAGCACGCATAAGAAAAAAAGACGGGAACAGCACAAGGCTGGGCTATAAGCTGAGGTATTTTTGCAAAAATAAACCTCAACCGCTGACTCTTCACAGTAGGGGTGTGAACCTACACTGGTCTCACGGTTTGGTTCGGTTCGCTTATGTTTATCTTGCCATCGATTTGGTTCAATTAGATATCTCGGTGCATCACACTGCATTGACGATGCTTTCCATACATAATTAGATTTTTTCTTCACAACACAAGTTTTTTTTTTAAATCTATAAATATATTAATATTTATATTTTATTCATTTATTCATTTTCTTTTCGGCTTAGTCCCTTTATTAATCCGGGGTCGCCACAGCGGAATGAACCGCCAAGTTATCCAGCAAGTTTTTACGCAGCGGATGCCCTTCCAGCCACAATGTTGTTATATACTTATAATAAAATACCAATGACTAATATTGGCCTATAATATTCACCTTAAAATGATTTAAAAATATTAAAAACTGCTTCTTTTTTTACCAATATAAAACAAGAAGTAAAAATATCATAAGAAAATGCGGTGGAAAAAATCCTTGCTCTGTTAAACATCATTTGGGAAATATTTAAAAAAGAAAAAAAAATCACTGGAGAGCGAATAAATGAGTAAATGAAAAGTAATGAAATGAAAGAGTAATTTTTTTCATCAGATATTATTTTACTCCTACTCGAGTAACTTTTACAATTGTTACTTTTACTTAAGTAAAAATATCTAAGTACTTGTACATTTACTTGACTATAGATTTTGGATACTCTACCCACCTCTGGTAATCTTTAATGGTTTATATGTATAATTTCAGTTTATCTCTTTCCATTATAAAATTGTCGCGTTTAAGGTCTGATTTCTTAAAAAAAAAAGTGATTTTTCACTGCTAGATAGATATACAATATATAGATATGGGTCTTAGATTGAATCCATTTTGCCCCACCATGTTTTTAAAATATGACAATGGAGTTTTTGTGCTTGCCTGCTGATCCTTACGGTGCTATAATTATAGTACATGGTCTTTCATCTTGTTTTACGCTTTATGCTTTAGTTTATTTAACTGAATGTTTTGTAATTACATTACAACATCGATGCTGTGTAAAAGGAACCTTATGAAATTGAAAATAGTCACATTAAGATTTCACCGAAAGTTTATCATTGGCTGAAAAATACTAGCTGTGCATAGAGCCTCTTGAGATCTGAAAATGCACTTCCTGTTTTTTTTTCACTTAGATATTGGGATGTGGGTAACAAATTTAAGCACACCCCTTCAGGTGTCAGTTTTGACAACAAACAGAAATGGTGAGAATGAGGTGTCTGTTAGGTTGTAACCCAAACCCTTTTCTTGATCTTTCTGAATGGAATGCCTACTTCACTGCAATCATTCAACTCGCAGTAGAAAAAAGACAAACCATGCTCACTGTTTTCTCATTTAATATTTCATTTGTCTAGTAACTGTGTCACAATAGGGGAAAAAACTGTCACAACTTCTGGTTCAAGTGGACTTTAATGAATCTCTTCTGGTTTCAGTGGTTTCTGGTTGAAATAGAGTCATTGTTTCTTAATCCCATACACAGGATATCAAAGAATGGAACGTAGGGCACTTGAATACTATCCTAGACACAGTGGAGCATGAAAGTGGAATCACTATCGAGGGAGTGAACACACCCTACCTCTACTTTGGCATGTGGAAAACCACTTTTGCCTGGCACACAGAGGACATGGATCTCTACAGCATCAATTACTTACACTTCGGGGAACCAAAGTCTTGGTAATAACTCTTAAAAAACATGTGGCTTTAGCAGGAATGTCATTTGGTTGCTTGAATTGATTTTTATAGAAAGAAATGTTTAGATAAAATGTGCACCTGTGGGCGTAAAGGTGGTTGTGGTAATTGTCCTGACGCCAAGTGCTAAATGTATCTGGAACGATCCCACAGGTACACCGTGCCTCCTGAACATGGAAAAAGACTGGAGCGGTTAGCTAAAGGTAAACAGTCTTTTGTGTTCTCTGTTCCCTTCACAAAATCATTTTGTTCCCTTATTTATATATAATGCCTCCCTATTGTCCTGCAGGCTTTTTCCCTGGAAGTTCACAAAACTGTGAAGCCTTTCTCAGACACAAGATGACTCTTATTTCACCTTCCATTTTAAAGAAGTATGGCATTCCTTTTGAAAAGGTATGATTTTATGAATATCCGCCTGTCTATCCGCCTGTCTATCCGCCTGTCTATCTATATCCATCCACCTGTCCATCCGCCTGTCCATCCGCCTGTTTATCTTCCTGTCCATCCGTCTGTCCATCCGTCTGTCTATCTATATCCATCCACCTGTCTATCTATCTATCTATCTATCTATCTATCTATCTATCTATCTATCTATCTATCTATCTATCTATCTATCTATCTATCTATCTATCTATCTATCTATCTATCTATCTATCTATCTATCTATCTATCTATCTATCTATCTGTCTGTCTGTCTGTCTGTCTGTCTGTCTGTCTGTCTGTCTGTCTGTCTGTCTGTCTGTCTGTCTGTCTGTCTGTCTGTCTGTCTGTCTGTCTGTCTATATCCATCCGCCTGTCTATCTGCTTGTGTATCCACCTGTATATCCGCCTGTCTATCTATATCCATCCACCTGTCTATCCATCTATCTATCTGTCTATCTATCTATATCCATTCGCCTGTCTATCCGCTTGTCTATCCACCTGTCTTTCCGCCTGTCTATCTATATCCATCCACCTGTTTATCCATCTATCTATCTATCTGTCTATCTATCTATATCCATCCGCTTGTCTATCCGACTGTCTATCCACCTGTCTGTCTGTCTGTCTCATTAGACTTGGTGTGTCCTTTTGGCTGTGGGTGCATGTGTTTGTTTCTTCCTATTTGGGGAGGTTTTGTGATGTCGTTGTCCACTTTTTCTTTGTAGATCACTCAGGAAGCTGGAGAATTTATGGTGACGTTTCCGTATGGCTATCATGCAGGCTTTAACCATGGTTTCAACTGTGCTGAGTCTACAAATTTTGCCACGAGGCGATGGATTGACTATGGAAAACAAGCCATACTGGTATATTAAAAAGTATTATTCACAGGTTTAGGATTGCTTTTAAATTTTTTACTTGTGTTTATAATGGTTGCATTCATTTAATTAGAGTTACAGTCAAAACAGTGAAAATGGGAAATATTTTAATACTGTAAACTAGTAATGGTCAGACATCTTTCTGATGTGCTTTTTTAGAATAATTTACATAATTGTTTTTAGATTATTTACAGATACATTTCAGGATTGCTAATGAAAAAACATAAAAATATATATATATATATATATATATATATATATATATATATATATATATATATATATATATATATATATATATTGTTTAAATGTTGTATAAATGTCATCATATTTAGTCAGTTTGACGTGGCATTAAGTTATATCATGTACATAAAAAAATCCATCAGTCTTTGTCTGTTTTCTTTTAGTGTTCTTGCAGGAAAGACATGGTGAAAATCTCCATGGATGTGTTTGTGAAGAAATTTCAGCCTGAACGGTACGAGCTGTGGTTGGAGGGGAAGGACAACGCACCCATTGATCACTCTAAACCCACGCCTGAAGCAGCTGAGTTTTTAGGTGGAGAGGCTGGTGCTCAAGAACTCCGCATTGAGAACCAAAGTAATGAGGGACAAAAAAAGAGGTGAAAAAACACACCCTCTTTCATTCTCAGTTGCCTCTCGGTGTACGTCAAATTATATATAGTATTATAATATCCCTTTCAAATGTTGCTTTTGCCACTTTCATTAGCCTGGCCAAACAAAGGATAGGAACCAAAAGACACAGGGTGTGTCTGGACTTTCCAGAGGAAGTTCTTCCAAAGACTGAAACAAATGATGAGGCTGAATATGGCAAGAAGGGCCGATTGACTCCATACACAGAACAGTGCAAGGAGTATACAGGTATGTTTTGAGGATATGGCATTAATGTGTTTTAAAGGGTTAGTTCACCCCAAATTCTTTTATTATTTAATTAATTACTCGCTGTCCTTTTGTTCCAATCCCATGAGTCCTTTATATTCAGAAAATAGATAAATAGATGGATGGATGGATAGAAAGAAAACAATATTGGCATAACAATCAATATAACATACACTTCGACCACAAACACCTTAACAAAACATTCACAACTCTCTAATCCCATAGTGTGACATAAAGTTAAAAACAACAACACTTTTTTTTTTTTCTGATAATGTTTTGACCCTGGTCTAGGGCGTCAAGATTTAAACATAAAAAAACACTAGATACATGCAATCACTTTTAAGAACCCTTAGAGTCAGGTGTGTTTATTTGTCCTTTTTTTCTCCCTCTTTTTTTAAACACCCAAAATCTGAAGCCAAATACCTCAGAGAGGACCCACAGAAAAATAATAAACATAATAATATCCCCTAGCTAAACACCCAAGAGAAACTAAATACACCTAACAAAATAACAGAAATAAAACTAGAAAACTACTCCTGTCTCCCTAACTATATATAAAAACGAGAAAATATTTACAGAAATGTGTGCCGTACCAACCCTTACTGCTTCTCATCGTGTATATACAAGGTACAGTACTTACAATAACAAAACAAAAAGAGAGGAAACATGAGATAGAAAAACAACAAACAGAAGCCAAAATTTACCCACACACACAATACAGGAATGCACAATCAAAAATAAAACTTGCAACTATATTTTTCTACTACACCAAACAAAAAACAACACTCCAACCAACTCGCTGTCCTTAGCTCCATGCCCGTTTCCCTTTGTAAAAAGACGCCCTGGATCACTCCAGCCAATCCCAAGACACGTCACTGGCGTAGTTAGGGCAGGGCCTCTGGAGAGGTAAAGAGCTGAAGAGAGAGAAAGAAAAATAGAGGGCACACATACACACCTGCTAAAGCAACAATAAAGCATCTTATTTAGTTCCAATCATGATATTATGGATGAAATATGAGAGCTCCCTTATCCTCCAAACAAAGTGACTGTTTAAAGTTGTTTAGAGCTCCAGAAATAAAACAAAGACATTTTTAAAACATTCTATGTGGCTTCTACTGTTTATCATATAGTAAGTGGTACTCTATATAGTACATTCATACAGTACGATACTCAAAAAAAAATATGTAAAAATGACTTTGTCTTTGTCCTCTGCATCAGATCAGGTTGCGAGTTTACTATGGGTAGTATGACGTATAACATGCAAGCATTCCACTGCCTGTTGTAAACAAACACCATAGTCAGACAACATAACAATGAGTAATTAATAATCAGCTTTCCGTTTGCACTTTCTTAATTTTTTTGAGTAAAGGGTCTGTGGGCTCTGTGCATGTAATATTGTGAATTAAAGGGGATTTCGACCAGTGTCAGACAAACAAAACACACTTTCAGCCAATCAGCTGTAAAGGCCGTGTCTAGTTACGAAAGCAAAGTTTGGTGATGGACATTTTTGTTTTGGTGCTTTTAAATATCAACATTGCTTGGCAAAATTTGCTTAGTTCATCATAAATTGATGCAAATCGCATATGAATGCTTAAGAAGACAACAGAGAAGAGCAGTTTTTGTTCATTTTCATTCAATGTTCAGTAATGCCTAAAATTGGGTCAGCAGGCTGAGAAAAAGTGGTTTAGTGTTGCATTCTCTACGATCTCATCCACTTGTGAATGTATTTTGAAGGGTTAGAAAGAGGACATGCTCAAAATGTATTAGACCTTATTTACACCAATATTTAGTGTTGCTCATTTATGAGTGTATTGTAGAGGTTTGACGATACATGTTTTGAACAGTTTCAAAGGTTGGCAAGACATGAGCATCAAGCGTACACTTACCAGACACTTTATTAGGTACACCTGTCCAGCTGCTTGCAAATTTTTAATCAGTCAATCCCTTGGCAGCAGCTCAATGCATTTAGGCATGTAGACATGGTCAAGACGATCTGCTGCAGTTCAAACTGAGCATCAGAACAGGGAAGAAAGATGATTTAAATGACCTTGAACATGGTATGGGTATTGGTGCCAGACTGGCTGGCCTAAGTATTTCAGAAACTGCTGATCTACTGGGATTTTCACGCACAACCATCTCTAGGATTAACAGAGACTGGTCCAAAAAAGAGAAAATATCCAGTAAGTGGCATTTCTGTGGGTGCAAATGCCTTGTTGAAGCCAGAGGTCAGAGGAGGATGGCCAGACTGGTTTGAGCTGATAGGAAGGCAACACAATAACTCAAATAACCACTCGTTACAACCGAGGTATGCAGAAGAGCATCTCTGGACACACAACACTTTGAAACTTGAGGCAGATGGGCTACAGCAGCAGAAGACCACACCACGTGCCAATCCTGTCTGCTAAGAATAGAAAACTGAGGCTACAATTTGCAAATCCTCACCAAAATTGAACAATAAAAGATAGGAAAATCGTTGCCTGATCTGATGAGTCTCAATTTCAGCTGCGACATTTAGATGGTAGGGTCAGAATTTGGCATCAACAACATGAAAGCATGGATCCATTCTGCCTTGTATTAACAGTTCAGGCTGCTGCTGGTGGTGTAATGGAATAGACGATGTTTTCTTGGCACACTTTTGGCCTAATAGTACCAATTGAGCATCATGTCAGCACCACAGTCTGTCTGAGTATTGTTGTTGACCATATCAATCCCTTAATGACCACAGTGTACCTTGAACATAAACATGACAATTAGTTCACTGTACTCAAATGGCATCCACAGTCACCAGATTTAAATCCAATAGAGCACTTTTGGGATGTGGTGAAATGGGAGATTTGCTCTGCGTGATGCTATTATGTCAATATGGACCAAAATCTCCAGTAGAGGAATATTTCCAGTACCTTGTTGAATCTTTGCCACGAAGGATTAAGGCAAAAAGGGGTCAAACCCAGTGCTAGTAGTATACCTAATAAAGTGGCCGGTGAGTGTATGTTAACATAAAACCAATGGTAAATGTGACCTTGAAATGAAAAATCATGAGCTGTGCTATTACAGAGGCAGCTGGCATTTACATTTTATCTATAATGTGCCCATTTTCAGTTGTAAACGGTCCTGACTTTCAGTATTTATTAAACGTATTCAAGCCATGTTACCATGTTCCATCTGGTGTGCTCATAAGTCAGTCCCTTCTTTGTACATGAATTGTCCACTGCACTCACACAGTTACATTAACAACAGATGGACTGACCTTGAATCTTAAAGTTAATACAAAATGAATGGCTTTCTGTGGCTCTAGAAAAACTTTGATCTTAACCTTAAAAAGTTGAATGAAATTAAATGTAAACGATGATGTTGTTCACTCAAAAATTTATTACAATCACTCGCGAGAATTTCTTTTGGCATCTGAAGGGAATCCCCGTTCCACTATCAAACAGCTCCCTAGTGTTTGGGAGCATTCCTGTTGAGTTGTGGCTTATGTTTGTTTTTCTTAAATGTTGTTGTGTTGTGAGCACATTTTCTTTTTTAATGTCATTAGCTATGTTTCCATCCGCCTATTTTTATGCGCATTTTGGATATGTGCATAAAAAATCCGTTGATGGAAATGTCAAGATGCTCAAATATTTAGAAAATGCGCATTAAAAAAATGTATGCGCACAAGTGAGTAGGATGAACTTTTTAGTCGATAAGAAAAGATAAACTACGATGGAAACATTTTTATCGAACACATTCCAGTATGCGCATTAAAAGAAGGTCAGGTGATTTTGTTATAAAAGATCATGTGACAATGAAAATGTGTGTGAATGGATAAACCAGCAGGCTGAACTCATTGTAAAACATCTGAAATGTTGTTTTGGTTATTCTAAAACACCTTAACTGTTTCAGTATTAGTGTCAAGAGCTGGGGTGCCCAAACTTTTTCTTATGAAGTGCCAAAAACCAAAATTGTTTGAAGCTAGTGGGCCGAATGTAAAATTTGTTGCCATGTATAAATTTCTAATTTATTCATTAATATTTAAAAACGACTAGAAAGTATTGCTTTATATTAACTAATACAGTATTGTTTTTTTTACACTTTATAATATAGTACTTATTCCAGTAAAAACAAAACATCTGATTTGTAACAGAATTACACTTGTTTTGCCTTGATTTTCTCTTTAATGTCTTTTGTGTAGTAATTTATCTGTTGAATGACAGATTTAAAAATCTGATTCATTTACAACATTTAATTGAAACATTTAATTTCTGTTTGCTTTTTGTTGTTCAGCAATAAAACTAACAAATTAAAGTTGCAAGCAGCGACAAAAGGGACTTCATACTAACAAAAAATGTTATGTCAAATTAGAAATGACGATCTCCGTGTTAAAGGCATTCGCCCCAACCCTCTCTATCATTTTCACTATGCTCTAAGTTGGGAAGGTGGGCCAAATCAAAGGTTACAATGGGCCAACTACTTTGGGCATCTCTGGTCAAGAGCATCTGTTCTTCAAACGTCACCACGCGATCATTACATGTCGGCATTGTCTTCTGAGTTGCAAGTGATTTAATAAATGAAGAAAAGATTTTTGCAGCTTCTCCTACTCCAGCAAATTCCGTTTTTACTGTTGAAATTTGGCGCCAGTTAATCAGGAAGTGACGATTTAGTTCTCTTTGACTCGTTGAAAACCCATATCTAACTGTGACCCAAAAACCGATATATGTACCGAACTTCTTTGTACTGTTACACCCCTTGTGGATTGACAAAACTGCTTTCTAATTTTTGGTGTAAACAAGGTAATTAACATCCTATGATTTAGCCTGCCTGCTAAAGTAAGTATTCCCCAAACTCTTGCTATTGATTAAGCTTTAAAAGTGCTTGATGTATTTCAATCTGGCAATGTTTTGACGGTTTACACTTTAAGTAGTGAGCTTTAAATCATAGCAACCAGTCTGAAATTTCCTGTAAACCAAATCTGCCTTGTTTCAGAGTTGAAGCATGAAGACCGCACACTTCCACTGATGGGTTCAACCAGTTTAAAGATGCTGCCAGGATCCAGAAGTGCTGAATTTTCGGAAAACGTTCGGGGTGCTGGTTTTAGTGACGCAGACCTGGATGCTAAAGCAACTAGCCATATTTCAGCCTGTGCGCAGCCCTTCCCAAAGCATCACCTCTCTATCGCATCTGTCCCTACTGTCCCACACTGCTTGTCAGCTGTGCCACGGGTATCCACCAAACCAGGGGTGGCAAGCCTTCTCTTTCATCGCACCCTCAGCCCGACAGATGCCCTGCAGGTCCACAGCTACGCAGCCAAAGCTGCACTCTGTAAACCACAAACACCCAGTCCAGAGAAACCCAGAGAAGACCTACACATACCAGACATCAGTCTAGACGTGAGGCCAAATACACCAACTCCACCCCCAGACACACCAGAGGTTGGTAACTGCATGCAGTGTTTGTATTTTATTTTTATATGGGCATTAAACTGTAAAAAAGGCTAGGTTCCACTCAAATTGTTGAAGTTTATTTGATCGATTTAACAAATTCAAATGAATTGAACATGAAACGATTGAGTTGTCCCAAAAAATACATTAAAATACATGAAAATACAAATTAAAATAATTTTATAATTTCATTACAGTAAAAAAAGACTTTACAAGGCAAGCAAGACACTCTTCAAATTTATGTTTTGAGACCAGGCTTGACCAAACTGTTCATACTAGATACTGAATTAGTCATTCTAGGTTGACTCCCTTGTAGGGCTGGGTGACATTGCAAAAATAATTCTGACAGTATCATGATTCATATTATTCAATATTAGTAATTTTTTTTATATTTTTAAACAATATATTTAAGAATATTAGTTTTTTTAACCACTTTAATTTACTAACAGTTCTAATACAAATAGTTTTAATAGTCAAAAACTAAAATATTCAAACAAAATATATTTTCTCTTTATAATAAAATAAACGAGATTCTTAAAGAGACTCTTACACTTGATGAATAAAATGTTACAAAGTGCAATGATAAAGGTAGTCTGTAGGGTGTTAATAATGATAAATTAAACCTTAATTATTAAAAATCTTAAATAAAATAATTTACGATGCAAATGATGATAATCAAATCTAAGCTTTCAAATAAAAGAACCAACCATCATTATTCAAATACATATTGCAACGTTACAAATTGTAAAGTTGAATGACTAGATTATCCCCTATGCTAAAAACTCTTTCTGATGGGGTGCTAGTGGCTAGGATGCACAAGAAAAGAAACCAAAAAGCCACTCTGGCGACATCCTTAAATCCCTTTTTATTCACTGTCCTCACTGCTGCTACATCACACTCATTTTCACTTTTGTTGTTATTTTGACCTGAAGTGACAAGCATGAGCACGTGGCTCCACCATTTTCTATGCTATTTGCGCTCCCCTGGCATCTCTTGTAACTAGGCGATCATTAACCGTTTTCTCAGAGAATGACAAACAGACAAACCATTGCTGCAGCTCTGATATAAGTGTATGGAGAAAAGTAAAAAGCACTGCAGTGTTTGGGTGCACTGTTTGTTTTAGGTAATCAGTTTGCCATTATTACTGAAATGTCTGAAGCAGATTGGTTTGATCTACTGTCAAGAATTGTGGTGCCTTTGCGGCATTCGTAGAAGTTCAGGGGCCTCATGTATCAATGCTGCGTACGCACAAAAACTTTGCATACACCAGATTGCATGCTCACGTTTGGATTTACTAACGATGAAATTAACGTAAGTGTGCATTGGTCCATGCCAACTTCATGTCTGGCAGTTGTGTATGTCTTGTGTGTGTTTGTTTTATTTCCATTGCCGGCTCCTAGAGGCAATTGTGTTAATTTGCACACTACAAAGTATCGCACCAACAAAGTATTCTGGCAACTGGTTCTTTCCAGAGGTAACTGGCAGACCACTGGGGGTTAAGCCAGTTGTCGAGCCGTGCAATGGCAGCTGTATGTGATGGGATTATCCGCAGGTATATAAGGTTTCCATACCATGCTGTTGACCTGCCAAATATTAAAGCGCAATTTGCAGCACTTGCCAGTTTTCTCAATGTAATTGGAGCAATCGACTGCACACACATTGCTATAAAGGCGCCATCTGAAGACTAATTTGAATACGTGAATTAGGAACATTTCCATTTAATAAATGTGCAAATAATATGTGATGCTTAAATGGCTTAACAAATATTGTAGCAAGGTGACCTGGGTCAACCCATGATTAATTTATCCTCACAAACAGCATGGTTGAGATGAGGCTTCAAGGTGGCAGGCTGCGTGATGTGTGGCTTTTTGTAGAGTTTATATTTAAAGATATTATTCCAGCCAAGTTTTTTATTTATTTAATTTAATTAAATTTTATTGAGCGTAATTATTTAACTGCATATCAGGAGACCATAGTTATCCATTAAAGACTGGCTGCCCCCCTTAACAGCCCACAAACTGACCAAGAGCGCAGATACAATGATGCTCATTCTCGCACTCGGTCAGTTGTAAAGTGGGCAATTGGGCAGCTAAAATGCCGGTGACATAACAAAGTTTTCCTCTAATACATCTCTTTCTGTCACAGACATGAATACTACGCCAGATAGTTAAGTGTCACCCACAATTAAGGCAACTCTCTCCACAAAAGGAGTTCGTTCAGCATCCCCTGTTCCCCCGCCTGTTCGGTCCACACTTTGACTGTGCGCCACTGTTCTCCTCCTAACCTGCACCTTTACACCGGACAATTTCTTTTTTAATATGTTCACAGTACGATGTTCAGACCCCACTGCATTAATCGCGTCAGCTAAACTCTCCCACTGTTTCACACATCTGATTTTTTTACTGCGTACGCACATTTACAGCTTTGTTTGTATGCAATGTTTTCAACATTTTTCAATTCAACGCAAGTCTTTATACATGAGGCCCCAGGTGTTTTTAACTAGGTGTATCTGGAAAATGCGCGCATGTCACATGTGCAAATTTTATTGGAATGTTAAATACTATTAGATAAGATTTCTATACTGAGAGCGCTTTGATGGTGTGTTTTTTTATCCGTGATTTTATATGATTTAATAATAAATAAAATCAATCATTTACAATAATTTTAATTGAGGCATTATAACTATGAATTACAGAATGGAAGTTTGTTTATTTTTTGTTTTATTACAGATTAGAAATCATCAGTGTCAAAGTGTCAATTTAATAACATTTCTAATGATTTATTTCAGGTTCTGAATTAAATCTAAATGTAAAAACAGAAGAATATCTGATAATTCATCCAATATTAATATATTATGTATTACTAATTTTAATTATTGCAATCAAATTAAAAAATGAAAAACAGCAAGCATGGAGTGAACTCCTTTTCATTTTAAAAATGTATTTATTTATTTATTTGTTTATTTATGGAAGAAATGGATTCATTTATTTATCAAGTTTGCATTCAATTAAACGATAAATGACTGTAAAAACACTGAATGTTACAAAAGATTTCAGTTTATTTAGAATTTTCTATAGATAAGTGTAGTCTTTAATCTTTCCCAAATTAGATGGTAGATTTAGGCAGATGACATTTTCTTACATTTTCTACATTTACACGTATATTAAACAGTATCTCATTATATTAAGTTGGTTACTGCATTACACATTTAAAAAGTACTGATAAAAAAAAGCATTGTTAGTCTTATCCCACTCCTTTCTTTATTTAGCAGTATAACATCACAAATAATTATTAAAACAAGCTAAAAAACATCAAACCTCTCATCAACATGTATAAAAATGAAATGTGATGCGTCTCTGTCTTTTCCATAGCACGAAATTGAAGGTGAGAAGGAGAATAACAGCATGAAGAGGAAACTGCAGCCGCTCAGCAAGTTGCCGCGTTTGCATCCTCTGCTCCGAGAGAACTCCAGTGATGACGGTATCATCTGCTTTTCCGCATTTCATTTACGGTGATTCCACTGATTGTGCTGTTGCTTATTATCTCCTCCACTCCGCAGAGATCCAGGAGCCAACAGCTGAGCCAGAGGAGACCGATCCCTGGGCTAAAATCCTGGCTCCCATGTGGCAGAGCAGACAACGCAACTTTCAGATCGAGAAGGAGTTCAACTTCCGCATGGGCCTGCATCCACCGTACTGTGCAGTGTGTTCCCTCTTTCACACCTACAATGAGGTAGCTCATGCTCTTACTGTCATAATCATCATAATTCATATTACTTCGTTCATTTGTTTGGCTATACAATGCAAGTTCATGCTAGCTGGGTCTGGGTATCAACCTGATTTTGATTCTAAATTTGATTGTGACTATAAATTTAATACAAATGCTATTGATATTTCATTGAGCTAGTGATTCATGCTATTAAAATTAGTGAACACTAATTTAGTATATTTAGTATATAGTATATACTAATATATATATATCAAGAGTTCACATGCAAAAAACCTCTAAATCCATCAGACCTCTTTTCTTGTAAATGAGCATTTTCTATCAGTCTCTTCTGATTTGGTTCAGAAGTTTCATTTTATATGTAACGATGAGGTTATTAGCTAGTTAATAAAATACCATTTTTCAAAAATGTTACTTTTGTTTTTTAACAAGGTAAATTTTCTTTTGCATCAAAACCAGCCAAATCCACGTCTGCTTTTTTAAATTGGAAATTATTTTACCAAACATAAAACACTTAAACTACCTGAAATTTACAATATATAAATCTGTCAAGTAAGTGGCGGTTCATTCAGCTGTGATAAACCAGGGGAAAAGTAGAAGGAAAATTCATGAATGAACGAAATCTGTCAAGTGCATTAATCAACATTTAAACTGAACATTAATTAAATTTTAACAATCTATCGGCATGTCTGATATTTAGGATTTAGATTTAATGTAAGTAGATCAATGTAAACATTGCAAACTAAGCTTGGTAGATTCAAATAATTTAGTGTAAAAACATTGTGAAACATCAATATCTGTGCATTGTCCATTAATCTAAAAGCTTATCAGACTATAGTAAATATGAAGTAATAAAAATAATGTATTGTTTTATACATCATATTTATCTTTTAAAAAATTCCTTAATTTAGCAAATAAACAAAAAGTAGGCCTACTGGACAAAAAAGGGGGATGCCTCTCGAACAATTTTAGTTTTTAATTTTCATTCTCACCATACTTAAGGTCTTGGTCCCATGTTTATCTTCATAGCATTCACGTGGGATAAAACAACAGCATCTTATCTCTGTCTTTCGTGAAATTGAGGTGCCGTTTATTTTATAGTAAATCAGATTCATTCAAAGTAGCGTCGATGCTCAAAAACATGTTATGAATACGTTACACTTCCGACTGTACATCGTGTTTTTATTGTGTTTTGAGGGAGGGGACGTTTTCATTTGCCATTAACTTACAATTAGACAGGCTCATCCAGTTCATCAAACTCCATCGTTTAAAATCTAAAGTGAAATATGTCTCCTCATGAAGGCGGCGTAACAGCCTGCTGCTACATTGAAAACGTATGATTCGATTCACGCTTTTCATCTTTTTAAATCGAAAGCAAAATATGCCTCCTCATAAAGTCTGCGTATCAGCGCGCTGCTACATTGAAAACATGATTCGATTCACGCTTCTGATTGGGGTCTCCGGTTATAGCGGCTTTTGCAAACAAACTGTTATTTCTGAATGCACTGACGCTGGGATTTAGATGATTTGAAAGAATGTTAGAAACCAGTAACCACTGACTTTCCTGGTAAGACAAATAAATACTATGGAAGTAAATGTTTGCTGTGATGACACAATTTTCAGTTTTTGGTAAACTATCCCTTTAAGAAGAATCGATATAAAAAATTGTCCTAATACATAGAAACAACAGCTTTAATTCTGGATGGTTCTGATCCAATCAGTAATAATTATCACTTCGCGTGTGAAGTGTTAATTGAAAAATAACTCATGAGACCTGCCGAATGATTATGCTTTGCTGTGTGTTCCCTATAGAGTGATGTAATCAGCCTGGGCGGTTTTGCAGCTGTAGGAGGAAACCCACAAAGGACCAAACCTCTGATTCCAGAGATGTGCTTCACCAGCAGCTCTGAAGGACATCTGTCCACTCCTAACCTGGAGGCGGACGGCACTAGCCAACTCATCAGCTGCTCTGTGTGCAGTGTGCGCGTACATACAAGTAGGTTTTTTGGCATTCTTTGATCTCACTTAGAAGAACATGGAGTATCCACTTGGTATAAACATGCATTCAAATGCGTTCCAGTGATGGTGCTTTAAAAAGAATTGGTCTTACTTTACAATATGGGACATGTAGTTAATGTTAGTTACTGTATTTACTAACATGAACAAACAATGAACAGTGCTTGTACAGCATTTATTTATGTTAGTTTAACATTTATTAAAGCATTATTCAAACCTAACAGTCCCAGCATGTCAAGATGTACATGACATATGTGTGTAAGTAAGTAAAATAACTAAGTAAGTAAGTAAAATAGGTAAGTAAAATAAATAAGTAAATGTTGATTTATATAGCACCTTTTCCAGATATTGAGTCACAACTAAAAAACAACTATAAAAGAACACATGACTAAAAGAAAACCACTGAAAGAACAAATGACAATAAAAGAAAACATGTTAAAACATATTAAAACTAATTCAAAATCCAAATACAGAAACACTAACACTGTTTATTAAAAGCTTGACCAAAAAGGTACATCTTTAAATGCTTTTTAAAATGTTCAACTGATCCCAGAGTTCTCAGTGCTATCGGGAGAGAGTTCCAGAGCTGTGCGGCTACCACACAGAAAGCCCGGTCACCTTTAGTCTTAAGACGAGTTCTGGGAATGGCTAACAGGTCTTTGCCAGAAGACCCCAGAGACTGGCTACATGAGTGGCGGCTTAACATATCTTGAATAAACATTAATGCATAATTAATTCAAGATGGGGGAAATAATAATCTACCCGATGAACGAGGTGAAGGTCTGAGGGTATTCTGTGAGCCAAAGTGAAGCACAGTGAGAGGCCCATGGAGAGAAAGCCTTCAGCTCTGAGTTAGCATCGCTGCTGCAGAAGTGTTTCCCAAAGCCTTATAAACACACCACATAACAATAAATTATTGATTAGCCGAGCAAACGAAGTCAATATACTGTAACTACACAAGACATTTATAATTTTAGCAGACTGATGGTACCAGTTTTCTTTTCATATGCTTACATTTTTACGCAGTTTAAAAAAGTATATTTAATATGCTTAACAATACAAGCTAACAGCAGTGCTGTACTGTAGGCTACTCCAACAAAAACACATCGCGTTGCTTTAAATTGCTCAAATAATCACGCCAGCTTTTCATTGAGCTGCATTTCTGACTTATCCAAGAGCATGTTTTTAGCTGTTTTTTTGTAAGCTTTCTGTATTATTGCGTTTATTCCATTTTACGAACACAAATGAACCAAAATAGCACGAGAAACTTGTGGCTTTGATATGCTGACAAGCTAAAGTGTGTGCAGTTCCCATAAACACAATAATATACCGTGATAATGATAAATTACGCCAAAACTAACATTCGTTTCTGCTATATGCTACTCTGCTTCACTGTAAACAGCGTGCACCTGTCAAAAAAGTCCCTAATCTGACGTCACCGTGGTGGTTAGAAAAAAAGCAGATTTTCCGGAAGTAGGAAAAACAGACACATTTTCTTTATATGTGCCTTTGCGCTTCGTAAAACATTTTAATATGGTATTTTATGGTAATTTCACAAACAATTTTGCTCTTTTGAACCTTTTTTTAACCTACAATATGCTCTTTATCTAACATTAACAATGATGAATTAATATTGTTTTATATGTATTGTTCATGTTAGTAAATGCATTAGCTTACATTAACATTGTTTGTATTGTAAAGTGTTACCCCACCATTTAAAATTGGTCACTTTACAAGAAGATTGTTAGTTAATGCATTTACTAACATGAACAAACAATAAACAATACATTTATAACAGTATTTATCCATGTTTGTTATAGTTAGTTAATGAAATTAAAGTTGTATTAACTTAGCGGTTTAAAAAGTGGGGGTCGGGACCCCCCGGGGAGTTGTGGGACAATGAGAGGAGGGAATTCAAAATCTAATTCATTTTATTAGACTATTAGAATTATAAGAGTTTTGCAATAGAACAGTTAAAATCCATACTTTTTTTTTCTTTTTACATACATGAACGATATTTTGATGTGTTTACAGGTTGTTATGGTGTGTCTCAGGATGCTAAGTTAGACAGCTGGAGATGTTCCCGCTGTGAAGCTAACGCCATTACTCAGGTTAGTTTGTTCATTTGTTTACATTAGCAGATTGGGTATTTTCATTCCCCAAACCTCTGTCATGCCTTTTCTAGCTGCTAGATGGCACCGTCATTATTGACAAGCTTTTTCCAGCCGCTCCTCATTTCCCAGATGGTTTATGATTCTCAGTGGTGTGACTAAGTGTTTGTGTGTCTCCCCTAGGACTGCTGTTTATGCTCTCTGAGAGGAGGAGCACTGCAGAGAGCCAACAATGACAAGTAGGTACCCAGAAGTCACTTGGTAGAGCCCTTCATGGACAAGAGCAGCCATTTCTCAATGCTGAATGACAATTTTATATGCTGACTCTCTTGCGTCATGCCCTCTGGCGCTGGTGAAACCTGCTCTGGTTGAAAATATGGTTTTGTTGCAGGTGGGTTCATGTGTTGTGTGCTGTAGCAGTGCTGGAGGCTCGCTTCGTCAACATTGCAGAGCGCAGACCGGTTGATCTCAGCACTATCCCGTTTCAGAGATTTAAACTGGTGAGTCCTGATTGATGCATAGAGGGAAAGAGGATTTGTGGAATGTGTTTTATCTTGGCGAGTACAATAACATTGAGGATCTTAACTGAAGTGTTCAAGTTCTGTATAAATAAACAGGTTTTCTGTGAGTCCTAAATTAATATTGATACACAATACCCTATACACAACCTATTTACAGTTAAAAGTTAGAAAAGTTATGTATTGATGCAAATACAAAATTGTTTATTATAACTAAAACAACAGTAAGTGAGTTTTTGCTTAAAACTTACTTATTATTGTTTTATTTGTAATTAAAAACCTAATTTCTTAATTTGGGTAACTCTTGCATCTTTTTTGGAAATAAAAAAATAATTAATAATGATTTGATTGAGTTTATTTTCTTTACTTGGCCCTAAATTAAATCTTCAGTCCTAAATTTGCAGGATCAAAAACTGTACTGTTGCAGATTAAGGCTCAATCCCAATTCTAGTTTTGTACCTCTGCCCCTTCCCCTTGGCCCTTGAAACAGAGTGTGAAGGGGAAGACCTTCAAAGTCTAAGAAACCCCTAAGAAATGGGGAAGCAATACCAGCACACGTCATCATATGTCATCGCGAGCTCTTGCTTCACATGAGATCAATGATCGCGACTGCTGTAGTTATTCCATTTGTGTCATTATTTGTTTTTGTTATTTATCTTTTAGCAACAATATCTTGTTGTCATAACGATATAATGTGGCAATAAGCTCGTAACTGTACTTTGCATTTACACCATGGCCATATTCATCAGTGTAAACATAAGAATACAACGTTAATGTTATACTACACATTGTAAAAAGGTCATTCCCAGCCACTAGACTTTTTCGACAGGGTATTCGGGTGTCATCAAGTGACACATGTGAAAGTATGTTGTGGGACTGCTGTACAGAAGTTAATATTAAGGATTATGGATAAAAAATATATAGTTTTTTTTTATCATGATGGTAAAACAAGAACGCCATTATGAATGTGTTCAAACATGTGCTTGTTTGTCAAAAAAATTTGTAATGATGACAAAAAATGCTATTTTGTGCATCTCCTGACTTCCGTGTGCAGACATGCTGCCATTGTAGATGGTGTATTCTAGGAAAAATTCCTACCCCTTGGTTTCGAGTGTGGTCTTGAAAAATCTCCATTTCAAGGGCCATCTAGCTCTTCCTCTTAGCTCTACGCCTTCAAGTAAAAGAGAATTAGGACACCCGTGAGCAGTAGAATTTGGATTTGGCCTAAGTGTAAAACATTTTTTAAAATTTTGTATGTCTAAAATTGTACATGAAGCAAGTCAAAATATGCCAAAGGAGCATTTTGTCGTGCATCTTAAGCTAGTTTGCACTAAATGACTTTAAACATCGGCAGATTGATTTGCCAATTTACACTACATGCCGTTTACACTACATGACTACATGATTTTGTGTCTTTTAATCGCTGTGGTGTTCACACTATGTGACACTATGTAAATGATCCACAAGAGGGGGAGTCACACACTACATAATCTGACAACAACTCCTTCGCCAACTGCTCAGTCAAGCTCTCAAACCACAGCCAATGAAATTTTGAAAGAGGAGCCATAAGAAAAAGCTGAACACTATCGGCTGCTTGTGTGCTAATTACGTCATTGACTGCATTTCAAGATTTCAACGGAGCATTTAAAAACATTGTTAATCAGCTGATGCGTCAACGGATCAATCACTCATCTGCAAGGTTTAAGTGAATAGATACACAGAAAGTTTTTAATATTTGTAATTTAATAACTCTTTGAAATAAAACTAACATATCTATAACACCTTGGCATTTTCTAAAGGTCGGTGTATTTATTTCTAAAATTGTTATTTTTTTAAAACTACAAAATAGTAAAGAACTGAGCATTTTAACCTTTAATTACCATATTGGTCAAAATGACTGCATGCATGTCTGCTACTTTTTGCTGTGACTTTTTGCTGTGCATTTTTTGCCTAGAACCTTCCTGCTTACATAAACATACCTTTCTGATAGCAAAAACAAAATTTATTTCAAATACACATTTCAAAATCATAATCCATGCCGCGAAATAGCTCCTGTTTGAAAGTGAAAATAAAAGCGAGGCCCTGACCTTTGCATGCTCTAGTATCTTAACTACATTTTCATAAGTATGTATTATTAAAAAAGATAATATTTTTAGGGTAATAGTGTCATAAAATTTGATTACAGACATTCAAAGCTTAATTTTAATATCTCAATTGAAGTTTTGAATGAAAATATGATGTGACGATCAGAATGACTAGTATAATAATTCTAATAGTTACAGAATTCTAGTTCCACTGTTATTATTATAGCCTATTCTCGTGTCCATGTTAATGCAGAAAGAAGCATCGGTGCCCATTCTGGCCAATCCCAGACATTTCTGTTGAGCTCCTGAGCACTACATTGTCACTACATCTGACTGCACATGGGGTCGAGTCGGCCGACTGCTCTGGATTATTCTGCATGCTAGACATTGGATTTCCGTCTGCGAGGTGTTAGCGACGATTCAGCGAGCCTCTTTGATGCGTTTTTCAATAGTTCACACATAAAGACTGCCAAGCACCCGCAGATTTTTCCCTGATCACAGCCCGATCTGTCAGCGAGCTCATTAACTTCCATATCAGGCTCAAGTCCGGCATAAAATCCTGTAGTGTGAACAAGGCTTTAGTGGAAAATGTGTCCTATTACTACAAATCTTTGTTACTCTTAAAACTGTGATATTCTCAAGATACTGAAAATAGTAGTTTGGCTGCGACTCTGCTTTTAGTTTATTAATTACCAGTACTGTTTAAGTATTGTATAGTGCCTGACAAGCTAAATATTAGAAGTTGGTGATATGTCTATTTTAATAATCTTTTAATGATTTTTTATGAATTGTCGTGTGTCTTTCTTTTCTGAATTTCTCAATTTGTTTAAAGCTTAAATTCGTGTTTCTACAGTCAAAGTGTTTTTTGTTTGTTTTTTTTTTAATAGAAATGTCAATTCTGCCGAAAGTGGGTTAAGAAGACCACAGGCTGCTGTGTGCAATGTTCGCACGGCCGCTGCTCCACTTCCTTTCACGCCACATGTGCACAGGCAGCTGGAGTTCAGATGCATCCTGATGATTGGCCGTTTGTTGTCTACTTCACTTGCTGGAGGCACAAGGGCGGCACCCACATAGAGGTACTGACACTTGCAGGAGGAAGGATCTAATTTATAAGTGCATGATGGCAAAGTCCATGACTTCATGACCTATGGAAATGCGCACAGAGGCTGGTTCACTGTTTTGACATTTGGTGCATTGATGTGAGGACAGATTTATTTTCTTCTGCTTTGTAAGAGTGCTGCAAACATACTAGAAAAGCACTGATTAATGCACATGATAAAATACCACCAAATATATAATGGCACATAGTTAAAGAAATTTACAACTGTCCTAGAGTTAAACAGTTGAGTTTTACTATTTTTTAATGCATTCAGACAACTCCCTGGTCTGGCAAAAGCCTTTTTTTTTAGCTTAGCTTAGCATAAATCATTGAATCAGATTAGACCATTAGCATCTTGCTCAAAAAACAGTTTCAATAATTATCCTAGTCTTCTGTAATTATATTGTGTACTAAGACTTACAGAAAACAGAATGTTACCATTTACTAGGTCTATATGGCTAGGAACTTTTCATTTTTCAAGCGAGCTTCTAATGATCTTACTCAATTCAGGGATCTATGCTAAGCTAAGCTAAATGTGCTCCCGGCAGCCAAGATATCAGCTAAATGAATTCAAAAACTTTAAGTTTGAATGAGCCTTTTTCCTAAAAAGTAATGTGTTCCTTTGAGTTATCAAAATAAGATAACTTTAGTTGTTGACACCAAGAGACAAATCTTATATAATATAAAGGGCCCTATCATATACCTGTCCAAATACATGTGTGGCGTGATTTGTTGCTTTTGTCAGACCATTGCAACAATAATTTTCACGTTTTGCACAATGTTGTTTAAATAGCAAACCCATTTGCAACACTTTGTAGACTCATGGGTGTGCTGGTCTATAAAGGAGGTGTGTTGAGGCGCATTGTTAGAGCATTGCTATTTTGAGGAACTGAAACAGACTGCGCCATTGATCAAGTAAAATCTGGTCTAAAGTCCTGGGCAGAGCGCGTTAGTTAGAGCGCCTATGTGTTCCAAATACTTACTCGTTGATTAATACACACAGGGTGTACAGCAATACACATATCTTTACATATGAAAAAATAAAGGATTAAAATGTTACAAAAATGTATTGTTTTCTTCATAAATATAAAAAACACAACTCCCATGCCTCATCTCGGGGGGATTTTTCAGTTTATTCATGACAATTTGCATTTATATAATGATAATATTAGTAGTGGTATTTTTATATGCATATTTGTATTTGTTTTAATTTTGGAGACGTATGCATTACCATATGAGACGTAAGAGCAGAACATGTGTTTGTACAGTTGAAATCAGAATTATTAAACCCCCTGAATTATTAGTGAGTTTCCACTGTTTCCTTACTCCACGAAAGTAAAGGAGTAAAGAGTAAAAGTAAAGAGAAAGTAAAGAGGCCAATGTAGGAGACTTGTTCTTTATCCTTGCGCTGCAGATGGTCTGTTTAACTGTTTTCTCGCTAGTGAATCGTTTTTCCACTTATAAAGTCCGCCATGTCAATAGCAAATGCACCAAGGCGCGATGTGACTGACTCTTAAAGGGAATTGGAGATGAGACTCTGATTTGTGTAATGCACGTTATGCTCAAAACACACCCATACCTCATTAAGAGAATAAGCACAACCCAGTTAAACCATGCGTTGCGGTGCAGACTGTATTTTTCCGTCCTTAAAATAGCAAAAGGGGATTCGGGCATGCTCTTAATGCTTAATGCTTTGACTTTTTGCCTAGATCAGTAAAGTAGAGCCCTAAAAACTAAAAAAAAAATAAATAAATTTGCCTGAAATGGAAGTGCAACACCACCATGTAACACTGTCAGCCATGTACTTTTTTATTTGTTTATTTAAAAACTCACAACCCTTTTTTTATTGTTCATAAAGAGTTTTTTTTTTTTTTCATTTACAAACTTTTAAAACATACCTGTTGTGATTTCAGAGCTTGTTCGACAGTTGTTTGTGTTTTTATTTATTGAATTCATCTGTTTTCAATGATTTCATCTACTTTTTAAATTTTTTTTTTTACTTGATAGCACCAAAACACATTTATTTAATAAATATTAACTTTTATACGCAGGACAAAAAACGTCCTTGTTTTTTTCAGAACCTTATGAAATCAACATATAATATTGTTGTCAAGTAGTCAGAAACACTGGCCTGATTTAGTGCTTAGCAGGGTGTAATTCTGTTCTGTGAGCCAGTATGTATTTAGACAGTTTCCATCATCACCTGTTATTATTTTGTTATGCAGGTCTGTCAATATGTAACCTCATAAATAAAAGTGTTTTGCGTGCTGTAGTCCGGTATGTTGGAGCGATTTTGTCAGCATTGCAAAATACGAGATGTCTGATCCCTGATGTTCTCGTTACAGCGCAATATGGCATCCATGCGGGAGTTGGAGAAAGGACAAAAAGTGATCTGCAAGCACAAAAATGGCCGGTACTATCACTGTGAAGTGGTTGAGCTGACTAAGGCCACCTTTTATGAGGTTATATTTGATGATGGCTCATTTAGTGACAACCTCTTCCCTGAGGATATAGTGGTACGTGAAGGGTTATATGGATCAAAGCAATGGCTGCTGATCAAAAGCAGACTTCTAAAGCAATGCTTGTCTTTTATTTTTTTAGAATAGAGACTGTACGCGGCATGGTCCACCATCAGAGGGCGAAGTGGTTCAAGTACAATGGACAGATGGCCTCATCTATGGAGCCAAATTTGTATCTGACCACATCATCCCCATGTACCAGGTCAGAGGACAACAAACACACTTTGTTTGCTATTTGGGTTAGAGTTCAGCTTCAGACGTGGCAAAGTAGTGTGTGTCACAAGAGATGATGCTGACTTATGCTGACTTAATATAATAGTAAGGCTGCTTTTTTTCTGATTACGGTGTGCCTACTGTTTTTGCTGTTCTTGTCACTGACCTTCGTTGTTGTTGTTGTTGTTGCTGTTGCTGTTGCTGTTTTTGAAGTATTTATCTATGAGAAGCCATGCAATGGTTTCTAATTTTCACAACAGGTAAAATTAACCACTCCTTGCCCAAAGTAAAGACACTGTAATACATAGAATTATTATTTCTGTGTGAAAGCAACATAAAAACGAACAATTCCGGCTTTATAGATGTGATATTTGCAGTAAAAATTCAAAACATAAATTCACAGATAGAGTATATGTTAAAATTATATTAAAACATCTGTTTATATTTTCTAAAATAACTGAACACAAAGTTATGGGATCATAAAACTATCAATCTGTAAACAACTTTTATGTTTTAAATGAGGAAAATAAACATATGTTATGGATGTGACAAAAAAGTTAGCGAATTTACGGTCTACAGCACAGTTAATAGAAATTTTGTGAATTAAACTGCACAACTCAAAAGGATTAACGCTAATCAAAAAGAGTTGGCCCACTATAGAACACAAATGATTCATTTTATTTTATTTGACATATTTGAATTTATGAGGAAAAAGCTTCATTATGGATGTGACATTTCTTTGTTATGGATGTGACAGATGTGAAATTGCCACTTGTGTGACTTTGGTAAATCAAATATAATAGTTTGAAAACATTTACAGTACTGTAAAATACCAGCCTACACAAACAACATTGAAAGGGTTTCAATATTTTGGTGAAATCTTTTTTTTTCAGGGCAAGATTGACATTTGCATGAAATCACTCATCCACAGATCATGAATATGTTGTTAAATTATTATTGTTGTTATTATTATTAAGAATAATACATATATGCTTGCATAGATGCATAGATACATCTATGGCTGGTGGTCTTAGGTTTGGAGTTGGCTTTATTTTTATTTTTTCTGAAACGTCTTACTTTGAGCAAGAACACAGTATTAAAGAAATTTGTTGTGTTAGAAAAGGTTTTATATGATATAAATGCTGTTCTTTTTTGTATGCTTTTAAGCAGCAAATCAGCCTATTAGAATGAGTTTTAATGGGTTAATGATGCTGAAAATTAAGCTTTGGGATGACAGGAAAAAATTGTATAATATAAATACAGCTTTTGATAGGACCCTATTCATGCAAATCTCTAAATATTATGGTTTATAAGCCTAAGGCTAGTTTGGGTTATTCCAATAGGTCAAATTGTGATATGAAATCTTTTTTATTGATTTTAGTCAAATATTTTATGGGAGTAAGTGGGGGAAAAAGCATAAACAACTGCATCATAAAAGATGCAAAATATGTGCATTGGATGTGTAACTCGAATATTATGCCACAGAGAATAAGTCGAATTTTTTTTTTCTTCTTGCAAATCAGACAATTCCTTACTTGACTAGTTTGTCTTACAAACTATAGATGTTTTGTCAATAGTACACATACACTGATTTTCTTTTCGGCTTAGTCCCATTGTTAATCTGGGGTTGACACAGCAGAATGAATATCCAGCATATGTTTTACGCAGTGGATGCCCTTCCAGCTGCAACCCATCACTGGGAAACACCCACAAACTCATTCACACAGCTTACCCAATTCACCTATACTACTTGTTTTTGGACTTGGGGGAAAGTGGAGCACCTGGAGGAAACCCACACGAACACGGGGAGAACATGCAAAGTCCAAACAGAAATGCCAGCTGACCCAGCCGGGGCTCGAAATAGCAATCTTCTTGCTGTGAGGCGATTGTGCTACCCACTGCACCGCCATGCTGCCCCCAATAGCACACATAATGCTAAGAAATTAGTCGTACAGTGCCACTCAAAAATATTTAGTGTACAGGATGTAGTGTGACAGGAGTGCCTCATTACAGCTGCTCATCAATGGAACTACCAGAATGCTATAACTACTAGAACGGCCATAGTTGTTATTCCGACTGTTCATATAAGACTGTATTGAATGCACACACGCACATACATGCATGCATACATACATATATACACTCACCAACTACTCACTGGCTACTTTATTAGGTACACCTGTCCATCTGCTTGTTAACGCACATTTCTAATCAGCCGATCACATGGCAGCAACTCAATGCATTTAGGCATGTAGACATGGACAAGACGATCTGCTGCAGTTCAAACCGGTTGTTGGTGAGGGGCTAGTCTGAGTATTTCAGAAACTGCTGATCTACTGGGATTTTTACGCACAACCATCTCTAGGGTTCACAGAGAATGATCCGAAAAAGAGAAAATATCCAGTTAGCGGCAGTTCTGTGAGCGCAAATGCCTTGCTGATGTCAGAGGTCAGAAGAGAACAGTAACTCAAAGTACTACTGGTTACAACCGAGGTATGCAGAAGAGCATTTCTGAACGCACAATTCATCCAACCTTGAGACGGATGGGTTACAGCAGCGGAAGACCACACCGTGTGCCATTCCTTTCAGCTAAAAACTGGAAACTGTGGCTGCAATTCACACAGGATCACCAAAATTGGAGAATAGAACATTGGAAAGATGTTGCCTGGTCTGATAAGTCACGATTTCTGCTGCGACATTCGGATGGTATGGTCAACAACATGAAAGCATGGATCCCGCCTTGTATCAACGGTTCAGGCTGGTGCTGCTGGTGGTGGTGTAATGGAGTGGGGGATATTTTCTCTTCACACTTTGGACCCATTAGTACCAATTGAGCATCGTGCCAACACAACAGCCTACCCGAGTATTGTTGTTGACCATGTCCATCCCTTTATAACCACAGTGTAGCTATGCTCTGATGGCTACTTCCCAAAGGATAACGTGCCATGTCATAAAGCCTGAATCATCTCTGACTGGTTTCTTGAACATGACAATGAGTTTACTGTACTCAAATGGCCTCCACAGAAAATAATAAAACAAAAAATAAATAAAACTTGCATTAACAAAAACTTTCTTTGGTGAGTTGATTTTCAGTTTTTGTTGGCAGAAATTTGCTAGACAGCAGAGGCATGCATAATCGAAGACTCAGGAAAAAGTAGCAGATGTTAATAAATACATGCATTTTGGTAAAATGATATTGAGTACTATAGTTTTAAATAGTAGAATTCAATTAGATGAGTCATAATAATGTATACACCAATTAAAAAGTCAAAATGACTGCCTTGGTATTCTAGTGTTATTTTGTGGCACAAGTTTGAACAAAAGTCCATTTAATAATGCGGGTTTTAAAATGTCTCTATTAATTGCTCTTAAGGTTGAATTTGAAGATGACTCTCAGCTTACTGTGAAGAGGGAAGATGTGTTCAGTTTGGACGAGGAGCTGCCCAAACGTGTTAAATCCCGACTGGTGAGTATTTTTTTTTTCTTCTTTTTTCTTTTCTTTTTTTTTTTTTTAACCAGGGCTGCTTTATTAAAGGATTAATCCTATTACAAACATACTTTTCCTTGGTTTATTTTGCTACTACAGTAAGCTTACTACAGTATACCGCTACAGTCATTACCTTACCATGACACTCACCTGTCTTACCCACATGTTGTTTCAAACCCAAAAAACATTTCTTTTCATGATTTTAAAACAGATTGTCAGAGCAAGATTTCTGTCCATCTGTGGCTGGAAATGATTACTCAAATAATTTGTTACTCAAATCTAAAAATCATTGAGGAAAGTTCTAATTCAGACCAGAGAATACAGCAGAAATGAAGCTTTTGGGTTCATTTCATTTAATGCTTAATTCACTTTTCAGTGCACTCTGATTTTTTTCATGCATTTTTAATAAATTTACTAGAATAGGTTAACACTACAGCTTTTAAAGGGCCATGAAACCCCCGTTTTAGCAAGGTGTTTTCACACCTCTAGTTTGGAAAAAGTCAGGAAAGTGGGTGTGTCTATCTCTGTTTAGGGGGAGTGTCGGAGGAGGGAATGAGGGGAGGTGCATAAAAACTTGCATAAAAATGGGAGTTTGGGTTTGAACACGCACTGATTTTCACAGAGGCAAAACAAACACACAGACGCAGGGAAGAAAGACAGTGACTGTGTTTACATGGACCTCAGTAAGCGAATTATTTGCTAAATTATTAAATGGTGGACCAAAACTGCAGTTTGGCTCTTTCGTTCAGGAACATTTCATTCATGCCCCTCATGACAAAGGAGATATTTGATTCAAGGAACTGCTGGAAGCGTGTATTTTAAATGCAATGTTTGATACCGCATGGCGAATGCGAGAAAAAAAAAGCCTTTGCATTTCTCTGTTACTTAGATGCACTCGGTAGGTAGCGGCAGAAAGCTGTCATTGGTATTCCTGTCACAAGATGCGGCGAAAATCCTCCACGACGGTTATAGTTTTATTGCAGTGTTTACATGTTTACACTCGGAGAGCAGCATTACAGTGGATCTTTCAGTCTATAATATTGTAGTAATTTGACTGTCAATAGCTCAAAAAATGTGCTTTGGTGTTTTGTGACCCTTTAACATTGTGGCTGCTGCAGTTCCAAGAGCTGAGCAACATTTTAAATTGTCGATTTTTAAAAAAAAAATTTATTCAAACTGAATTAATATTAATGTCAAAAAAAACATTTTTTTTTGTTCAAGATCATATTCAATAATACATTTTCTGAAAAAAAAAAAAAAACAAAACAAAGTAGTTGTTTATTTTAAGACGCCGGTCTTATATTTGTTTAGTTTAGTTAGTTTAAACTTTATTGTCCGTTCTGCTTGGCACAGAAAGGAAACTTGTTTTTAAATCTGCATTTAAAACAACAATTGCATACATACAATAGGCACAAAATAACGACAATCATCACGACAACAACATAAGTTACAAATTTTAAAACCAAATTACCCCTATATTAAGGGTGTAATGATATGTGTATTCGTATCGAACCATTCAGTACGAGACTTTCGTTCGGTTTGCAATGCGTACCGAACACATTCGATTCAAACTAATATCTAAAAAGATAAAAGAGATTAAGTACAAAATATAATGTTTTTAGTGCAACAACCCTCAACATGGCATCCCAAATGACGTGGCAGACAACATGCAGCCTTCCCCGCTGTCATGTTAAACAGTAGATCATCACTTTTGAACTCAGAATATCACTTTATTAAAGCATGTGCTTGGTACCTTCTGTGTCAGCCTGCTTTTGCTGGCTCTGCCCAAGTTGACCCAGCAACCCTGGCCCCTGACACAAAACATCTCAATAACCTGTTCACATATCACCACACCCGCCCACCTCCAAACACTTCTCCAGTCAGGCACGCGCTACACTAGCTCGCAAAATGGCTAGTAACGTAATGTAATCCCAGACATCCCAAGTCTCCCGGAAGTTTCGGGAGTCTCCCGCAAATTCATAGAGACTCGGGGATGCCTGCAAATGAATCCTAATCTTCCGGAAATCGCGCGTCTCTCCCCGGTCTTTTATTACGTCGTACACCCCTCTTCACCGCGTCCCTTCCTACTCTTCAGGTACGTTGGGCACAACTCACCCCCGCCGCTCAGGAACATTGCACACACACGCCTCCACCGCTCTTTAGAGCTGGAACAGCATTTAGACAGGCAATTCCTACAGATTCGAACAGGGCAAAACAAATCACCGAGGTGATCGGTACATTTTAGCTGTGCATTTGAGAGCTCTTAATCGGTAATGGAAAATTCGGGTTTTAAGAAAATGTTAAATGTAATAGGGCCGTTACATTATTCCTTCAAAAGCCCATTTCAGTCAGATAATTCCTGCTTTTAGATCCACTGAAATGGCAAGTGACAGTCAAATCAAGCAGATCTGTGCTGTCTGAAGAAAAGGCTAATCTTTCTGAAAAAAAAAAAAAAAATTAAAAATGGGTTGAAACTGAGTTCCATATAAAAATAAATTGTTCTTCTCTTTTTATTTGTTTAACTACTACAATATAATATATCTATTTTTTATAGGAAGCTTTTTGGTTTTGAGTATAAAGAAGGATTTGTTTTATTTTAAAGATTGGGTAACCTAAAAGCGTCCAAAATTGTCTTGAAGATCCAAAATTCTTAAATTAATTTTTAACTTTATTCTCATAAACTCTTTATATAAATGTTAAATGCAAATATTGCAATGAGATCTTATTACTTGTATGATGGCAACTTAAAGGGATAGATAATGAAATTTATCTCCTCATTTACTCACTTGACTTAATCGAAAACAATGCAAGTTATTTTGTTCCGTTAAACACACAAGAAGATATTTTAATGAAAGATGGAAAGTAGTAACTATTTATTTTCATAGTGTTTGCTTTCCTACTATGGATGTCGCCAGTTGTAACCATTCTTTAAAGTAGGTTAGAACAAGTCAAGGGTGAGTAAAGGATGACAATGTTCATCTTGGGTGACCCTCCCATTTAATTTGTGCTGAAGTTGACAATCCTACACATGCACACTAGAAGGATTTGTGATTGTTCATCATCTGGACTTTCTCTCTCTAAAATGCAACATTGATAAGGTTGTTTTATATTTATTTCAGTTCAGTTAAGTTGACTTTATTGGTACCTGTAGGAGGGTTGCACAGTTTACCGGTACTATGTTAGTATTGTGTATTTATGGCTCCAAAATACTGGCCGTGCCACTGTAGTTTGTAAACGGTAGTATCGTCATTAACGGTTTATCTACAGTACATAATGGTGCATGTGGAAAAGTCACTAAAATGCTCACATGCTTGTGCAACTATAGACCATTTTATTTGAATAGTCTGTGGAGCCTTTTAAGGTTGCAAACTGTGTAGAGTTCACACATTTTATGGTAGCCTATTGCATGTTTTCTAGCGCTTCAGATCGAATCTAAATCAGTTAATCAGTTAAAACAGTTCTGCTCCTGTTAATATGATTAAGTAGCTACAACAACTGTGACAATCTCTTACTGTGCATTCATCAAAGGTCGCTCTGGCTGCCCTGGTGACAATAGCCCCTTTCAAACAGTGATACAGGTAAATATCCGGATAATTTCCGGAACGACTTTACCGGTATATTCAAAAAAGCGATGTTTACACAGGCGAGGACGTTACAGAAATTTTCCGGAAAAGAGCATTCACACATCCATTCCAAAATACCGGTAAATTCTGACATCATTCACCACAAATGAGCTTTAAACGGCTGCGCTTGTATTTGTAAACATTTGACTAAATTACAAACTCTGTGGATGATCAGTATTGTGAACAACTTTCGCAGGATCACTTTCGCATGTCGAGATGTTCATAACATGTGTTTGTGCAGGCGCTCACAGGCTGTTTCACAGGCACACGCAAAGCTTGAAGGTAAACAAACAACGGCTTATCATAAGCATCTCATCGATGATTATTTACACAGTTGGCATTAAGAAGAACATAAACGTGATCTGACTAACTTCTAGCAGCTAAATGTGTCTGGAAAAATATTCAAAGGCTTTTATTCTCATAAACCGCGCGGACGTAAATGCGTCTGACTGTTGTGATTGGCTAAAGCAGACGTCTCACGTCAGCACGTTCTAGACGTGCACGCGCTTATTCCGGCAATCTTACTTCTGCATTCACACAGCGCAGCATTCCGGCAAATTGCCGGTAATGTTACAACTTCTCTTTTTCAGAAAATAGCCAGAAAGAATTTACCGGTATTTTCAAAAAGGACCTGTTCACACATACAAGCTTTCCGGAAAATTGCCGGTAATTTTCTGGAAAGGTCTGTATGTGTTAAAGGGGCTAATGCTATGTGCCTTCAGCTCCGGTGGCGAGAGCGTCAAAATTCGCTACATTGATCTTGAATTTAAAGGGGCCGTTGCAGCTTATCAGTTGCATTCCTGCATGAAACAAGCTTTTTAGCGTGAAAATGTTGCAGACTTCTTATCAAATTCATTTAACAATGAAAGATCAAGTTGCATGTGGTGTGGCTTTACTCCACTTAATTATCCAATGTGTCCATATGTCTGAAGTGTCCTGAAGCAGCAATAATATTTTGTACTGTCGCACGAGATTTCAGTTTTTTAAAGATAAATATATATATATATATATATATATATATATATATATATATATATATATATATATATAACATTAATGCACATCAGTAACTCGCCAATAACTTATTTTATGTATGTTTCTGTAAGAAAACATTGTAAATAATTGAAAATCTGGCGACCGCAATAATCAAACCCTTGGGAACAACTGTGGTTGGAACCAAAGTTCACAGGTATGTGTTCTCTAAACTCCTCTCAAGTGGTGGACTTCTACATTCTGATTGCTTGCCGCCGAACTGCGTCATAGCTCATTACCATAAAGTTAACTTGATTTTAACTCTCCTCGACATCCACACCGCCGAAGACGCACCACGCTGCTCCTTGCCATTTATCGCCGCCGACTCTCATTGAAAATTATGACTTTTGGCTACTTTGCTGCTCTCGCCGCTTTCAGTGTGAACGTAAGGTTAAAAAGAGCAACTCACAAAGTGAAATTTTGAATTAATTACATGAAAATAGATACTGAAAACATTTAAACAATTGTTGGAAAAATGCTAATTTTTTTATTAATGCAGATTTTATTTGGTAAAATTTGTGTCTCTATTTTAATGTATTTGTTGTTGGTCTGTTATTTACAAAATAAACAAAAAGAACGAATACATTTTAGGTGAAGGGAATCAATAATTCAATTTAAGTAGGCCTATTATAACATATAGTATTTCTGACAATTTTCTTTATTTCATGGATTTGAGTTATGAGTTACAGTATGGCAATACTACTTGGTATTAGGATACTTTAGCTGGTATAGTGTCGTAACATGAATTAATGTTATCACGACAACCCTAACCCGTAGGTAGTTTTTACACATATACACATCCCTATACCCACATATAAAAATTGCATATAAAAGACATTTAAAAAAAGTACTTTATAAAATATGACAATTTATTCAGAGTGACAATAGATGATGGGACAAAGCTATTCCTGTAACATGTTTTCCTAAGAAAAAAGCATCTGAAACCCTCGACCAAAAGGGAGTAGGTTAAACTCAGAAAGAGGATGAGAGCTACAGCTACTAATGGGCAATCCTTAAAAGCTGCCAACTATATACAGGGATTCCTTACTCAACGGCTATTCGCCAATCAACCTGCTAGATTACCTAATATCTTGGCTCAGTGTATTCCTGTTTTTAAAGGACAGACTTTCAAACCATTCCACCAGAGCGAAGGATAGACAAGACTCAATTAAAGCACAATAGAAAAACAGTAAGCATATCGGGGCCAATGTGAAAACGTCATAGTTTCCTGAGACAAAAAGGCATTGATGCCCCTTCACAGCTATATTAATTAAAACTAGAATTCCAGATTTCTTTTAGTGCACTCCCTCAAAAGTGCTCACCATGAACAGCTGTCTGTTGTATTTGCTGTTCTCAGTTGATGATATTGCCTTTGGTTTCTGTTCTCCATTTCTTTTCCATTTGTGAAATGCTTGCTACTTCAGAATTTATGAAAGTAATAAGGGAAAAGAGGATATTTCAAAGGGTATTATTATTATTATTATTATTATTATTATTAATATTATTATTATTATTGTTGTTGTTGTTATTTGATGTTGTTGTTTTTGAGGAGACTGGCCTTGTGGATAGTTCCTATAACTGCGTTTTTTAGGGGCAAAAGACCCTAGAGTGTTGAAATCTAAGCCGTACAAAAACAATTTAAAGAGCATGTATAAACATGGAAAATCAAGTGGTATGCATGAAGTATTTGATGAAATTTGATCATGCTCACACTAGCTATGTTTCTATCCATAGTTGCACATTTTCTAGAACACAGTTTCCATTCCATGTGATCAAGAAAAAAGAAATAATTTCCTGGGAAACTAGCTCTATATATGAATAAACAATAATAGGAATTTGATATAGTTATGGTATGCTGAGAGACCACAGTAAAACAGTTAACAGAAAAACAGTAAATAGGTTGCATGTCAAAGGGGAGACAGTGCTTGATGCTTGTGAAAACCATTATGTAGGGCAGGAGGTAACAATTAAATAATTTTGAGGGTGGAATTTTGCTAAGGTGTTTGCAAAACTATTGTAACAACATTTGAGATGAAATCAGTTTTTTGTCCAGTTATTCAATCTCATCATCAGTTGTGGCAAACTTGAATGCATATCAAACGATTGGTTTAGTAAACAAGTTTCTATTGTAGCTCATTTAGTTATTTTCTTATCGTTAAAAAAGTGTATCCTACTCAGTTGTGTACACAAGTATTTTGTGTGTGTTCGTTTTCAAAATGTATGCACGTTTTTTTCTTTCTTTTATTATTACTATTTTATTACACTCCATAATCTGAACTGTACATAAAAGCAGGTGGACGGGATAGGAACTATGACTGCTTAATGTGGATTTCACTATATATATATAAATGTAAATGTATGGCTTTAGATGGATATAGATGGATGTACAGTATGAATATAGATGGATGTATTGATATAGGTAGATGGATGGATGAATATATAAATAAACAAGAGAGAGAGAGATAGATAAAGAGATATAGGGATAAAGATGGATGGATTGATATAGATGGATAGAGATAGATATGGATAGATGGTAGGAGATATATATGGATGGATGGGTGGATATAGAAATGGATGGATGGATGGATGGATATAGATAGATGGGTGGTTGAATATAGATATAAATGGATTGCTGGATAGAGATATAGAAGGATGGGTGGGTGGGTAGATAGAGATCGATATAGATGGATGGATATAGATATAAATTGTAGGATGGATATAGATATGGGTGGATGGATGGATAGATATAGAAGGATATAGATATGGATGGATATGGATATAAATGATGGATGGATATAGATGATTGATGGATGGAGATAGATATGGATTGATGGGCGGAGGTAGATATGGATTGATGGATAGGATAGATAAATGGATAGAGGTAGATATAAATGGATGGCTGAATGGAGATAGATATAGATTGATGGATGAATATGGATTTAAATTGTAGGATAGATATAGATATGGATGGATGGATGGAGATAGATATAGATGGATGGATACGGATTTAAATTGTAGGATAGATATAGATATGGATGGATGGATGAAGATAGATATAGATATGTATGGCTGGATGGAGATGGATTTAAATGGATGGATATGGATATAAATTGTAGGATAGATATAGATATGGATGGATATGTAAATAATATGGATATTGATGGATATAGATATGGGTGTGTGTGTGTGTGTGTGTGTATATATATATATATATATATATATATATATATATATATATATATATATATATATATATATATATATACACACACAATTTAATCTTAAATCATGATTTGATTTGATGGGTAATATATTTGGTAAAAACTGTCCTAAATTTGTTTTATATCTTTTCTTTTTTTCAGTCTGTGGCATCAGACATGCGCTTCAAAGGAGTGTTTGTGGAGAAGGAAGTGAAGCAGGACTCAAAAAGACAGCGAGTGATCAACTCCCGTTACAGAGAAGACTACATTGAACCGGCCATCTACAGAGCAATCTTGGAGTAACTCAATCCACAAACAATATCTTTAAAACAAAAACCAATTCACCAATAACACGGCAAACAGAGAAACAGGCTGGAGCAGACACATCGTCACATGATCGGACAACGGCAAATACAATTCTACCGCTGCGCCTTTTGTTTTTAAAACCATCAAGATCAACTTTTTAGGCCGAGTATGAATTCGGACAGCACAGATGAGAGTCTCAGAGATGAAATGCTAGGAATGTCTTGTGTAAGAGTGTTTGTTTGTTCGCACAGCACACAAGCGGTTCGGGATCAGCGGGTGGCGGTGGACGGCTCTCGGACTCCTACTATCTTTAGTCAGGTGGCAGTAATGTTTTTTAATCACCTCCCTGCAGACCCACCGGCTGACCGAGCATCAACAAACCTTTAGATGGTCCGACCGATCTGCGGTCAGCATGGATGATGCGTCACCCCGCTGACCTTTTTTATCGGTCTGAAAGTGCTTGGCAATATCAAAACCTCATGGATGTACCTAGTCTTTATTAGTACGAGCAGCTCTCATGTGTGATCTACTGTAAACATGAGACGTCGTAGAGAGATAGCTTTATACTCTCACGGTTAGGTGCATACAGCAGCTTTAGTTTTATTTAATTTATTCTTTTGTTGAAGTGTGAGGAACGGCCGTTTCCTTGTTGAGCATCAGTTCTGTTTGTAAACCGATCTATTTATATGTTGAAGGCAGGTTTTTTCCTACTTTTTCTACTCTTAGTTGGTTAAACTGGTGCACTTATCCACATGTTTGTTTCTGTTTTCCTTCAGTTGTGAGTTTTTTAATCATGGTACTTAAGGCAGGGAAGGCAACATCTCTAAGTGCCCTGTTAAGAGGGCGCCTAAAGAAGTGCCTCGTTCAAATCATTATTTAAAATAATGTGTTTTTTTTTTTTTTTTGTGGAGATTGCTTTAGTTGTTTAGCATTACAGACCCTTCAGTTGTCTTGTGTGATAGGCATTACACTCCTTTGTCTTGGATTATAGATCCATTGTTAATTTAAGGCTACAAAAAAAAACTTTATTTTTAAATTAAAAGCAATGTCTCCTTTTCCCTGAACGTTTGCTGCTTGTTTTATTTTAGCGTCTTGTTATATCACGGCCCACAAACACTCCTTTTACGATTCATTTGAGGGCATTCAAGTATGTGTTCATCTTAAGCCTGTTTTATACTGTTTCTGTTGCTCTGCAGTAACACTTCCGAAACTTTAGTTGGCAGAGAGCTGCTTATGTTCCTCTGTGTCGAGTTTCTTCTCTGGTGTTTGTTTTTCTGAACGCTTCCTTAATGTACAAGTGGTTCAAACTCACTCATTTTGAGGCTGGAATCAACAACTTTAATCACAAGGTAAACACAAAACAAAACGTTCCATCAGCAGCTCTTTCACTTGACTCAACACTTGTAAACAATCGCTCCATCTGGCTCGCGCGTCTCTCAGTCCCGCCCACACACTCATCATCACTAGCAAGCCGACCAGTCACAAGGCTTGCGCTACACATTGTTGCGACATGTAGTTACATTTTTTTAAGAGGTGCGCGTCAGCTACGACGAGGCCTACGCATCCATGTGTAGGCTGTGCAGTAGCATACACGTGCGCTTGACGCAGAAGTATAAATCAACCTGAAGGTTAACGTTAATGTCTGCATTTATCGGGTGGTGAAACGTTGCATATCAGAATCTTTGATATGTGGTATGTTCATGCTGCAGCCGGTGATCAATAAGATTAGCTGAGCACAGGCGAAGGGGAGATGAATACAGAGCCGTCAAGCCAGATACTTCGGGGCTCAAAGTTGCGGCAGTAATTATCATTTATTTATTTATTTTATTTATAACAATAAAAGATTTACAGTACAAATAAAACAGTATACAGTCTCTACAAACTATAGTACATTTCTAAACAAAAAGGGAATTATGAATTAATTGTATAACAAATGCATGAGAGAAATTAGGGGAAACGAAAGGGGAATATAAACATAAAAACGAATAGACCTATTAAATACAAAGTAATAAGCACAAATTCTCAGAGTTTAGACATCACTCTTTAGGCTAATACTTCTTGTTCTGAATATGCTAAAAAGGGTTTACTTTTATTTACATTAATAGATATAAAACTTTCCAACTTTTGCTTTTTTTTTTTTTAGAAAGAGGGTCATTTGACTCCTCAAACTTATTGGGAATTTCACAAGAAAAAATAATGGCGTGGTAACTTTTATTCTTTCCTGAGTTATTTACAAGTTTTGACCACTTATAAAAGGTTCAATGTGCTGTGTGTGTTGGATTGTCAATGCAACCCTCTTCTCCTACTTTTCACACACTGATAGCAACACCGCAGGAGAAATGCCAGCACAGGCTTCCAGTATCCTTTGTTTCAGGTGCTGCACATCTTGTATTTGGTTGTTGCCCAATTGTGCAATATCAGTGTCGTCATCACTGCTCCTGCAGTCGCTCTTCAGATGCTGCACCGGCTGAATCAATTATCTGATTTCAGAGCGCTGTAATGATACTTTGATGTTACACGTGTCAGTCATGTGCCGCAGCTCTGCATGTAGTCGAACACAACTATATTCACTGTCATTTTGTGTGCCAGAAAGTAATAACTATTGTAAATAGCACTGACAGATACCCTGCCTGTCCAAAACAAAAGTCACACAAACTAATATTTTGTTGGACCACCTTTAGCTTTGATTTTTGAAGTGTTTTAAAAAATCAGATCATGTGACTAAAGCAATTCAAAGCATTGGTCGTTTCAGAAGCATTTCGAGACCTGGCGAACCTGCGTTTGACTGACCGGGTCAGATAAATACCTCTACCTCTTGTAGCCTATTGGACCAAGAGTGTGCACATTGTAAAGGCTAATTTATACTTCTGCGTTGAGTGGTCGGCTTAGCCCACAGTGCATGCCTTGGGTGTTGTCGTGCGTTTATACTTCTATGTGCTGTTTGTGTTGCTCTGCAATAACTCTTTCGAAACACTAGTCGGCAGTAAGTGTTTATGTTCCTTATTGTGTAGTTTCTTGGCTGGTGTTTTGTTTTTTCTGAACGCTACCAAGTGACTCAAACTCGCTCATTTTGAGGTGGGAACCGTCGTGCAACAACTTTAATCATAAGGTAAACACAAAACAAAACTTGCCACCTGGAGCTCCTTCTCGGTAATCGACACTTGTACACTCGTTCCATCGGATTCCCAGAGCTCTGGGTCCCGCTTGCACTCGTCAGCACTACCAAGCTGACCAATCACAGAGCTTGCGCTACGCATCGTTGCGACATGTAGTTAAATTTTTTTGAGAGGTGCCCGTACAAATACTCTGAAACTATGTCTTGATATATTTTAATAACGTTACTTTTTTGACCAAAACAAGACATTGTTTGTTTTAACATCAGACCAATGTTAAAACAAAACACGTTACAAGAACAGAGCATTTAGAAATAAATTCGAACCCATTAGTTCTGCATGCGAGTAAGGAACTCTCATCGCTCCACTAAATGACTTGAAGCCTCAATTCTACATTTTCTTTGCTGAAACTGTTCCAGAGCAATACATAAAAATGACACTAAGTATAAAGACGTGTTTCGAAACGTTTCGACACATTTGCTTCGACTGTTTCAGTGTTTCTTAAAGCCTTGCTTTGCCCATCAGTACTTTCACGATACTTTTCAATGTCATAATATTTATTCCTGTCCAGAGTTGCTTACATTTTTCACCAAGATCTCATGTTTATTATGATGATTCTTCATCACATTTTAAAGTTTCTCAATAGAGTTAAGGTCTGGACTTATTCTCCCTGTCATGTCCCATTCTCCCTGAACCACTCTTTCACACTTAAAGCCCGATAAATCCTGGCATTGTTATTCTAGAATATCCAGGGAACAAAAAAACCATAGTAACCCAGTCATTCAGTATCTTTAGGTAATCAGTTGACCTCAATTGTTAGGCACATAATGTTACCGAACCCGTACCTGACCAACTGCAGCGCTCTATCACTGTGCTGTCCCCACAGGCTGGTATGTTAAGCATTAGGGATGGGTGCATCCACCTCTCCTCTTACCACGCCATCACTCTGGAGGGAAATCAGACTACATGACCTTTTTATTTTGCTTCGTAGTCCAATTGTTATGCTCTCTTGAAAATCAGTCTTTTTTCCCTGATAGCCTCACTGGTAAGTGCTTTCCTTAAGGCTACACAGCTCTTTAGTCCCACTCTCTTGAGTTCCCTTCATATTTGAAATGCTCTCATTTTCACTGTTAATACAGCTGTGAGTTCTTCACTGTTAAACAAGTCTGGCTTCAACACAACTCATGTTGTCCTAGCACAAATAGACTAAGTTAACTTAATACGTTGTTACAAATTTAAGTTGATTGAATATAAAACAATCAAGTAGTCCTCCAAAAAACTTAAGAATTGCGTTGGTTCAACTTTAAATAAGTAATTTGAACAAGCAGCAACAGTCATTTGAGTGTTTTGCTGTTTTTGTTGATTGCCAGACATGACTGATTGCTGAACTTGATCATCTGAGTTATGATTATTATTATTATGATGATCATTATTTGCAACCACTTTTCTCCTCAAAAATAATGGATCCACAGCATCTCTCCAGCTTTTAATAATGTGTTGGGCAGTTTTAAACCCAATTTTAGTTGTCTCCTTGGATGTTTTTGGATGCTTGATGCGTACTTCGACCTTTCTAAAACAGATTAACATCATTTTCACAACCACAGGAAGTCTTTTGGCATGTTATTTACAGTAGATGGCTATTTAATTTACAAATTAGGAGCTTCACCCTGCATCTTTTAGGATTAAGTAACGTAATTGATCATGAAGTTAATATCCAATGGGAGACTTTTCTCTACTTAGTTAAATTCAGGTAGATGCGCATAACATGCATTTGGCCCGCACCAAGTCAGTTAGTTTTATACTAGATTAGATTGTTATATTAGTTTATCATTTAAAAATTAGAACTATTTATGTCACAAAAGCTCATGTATTCTTTTCATGAGCCGTGTGTTGACGCCCTAGTGTTGTATAGGTTAGACAACTGATTTATGGGCTTTTGGAAGCTTCAAAACAAAAGCCGCCATCCAACGGCATTATATACAGCTGGGAAGAGCCAGAATAAAAATGTTAAATGACATCTGACAGAAAAAAAAGTCCTATGCATTGAGGATGGCTGAAGGTGAGTAAATTATGGATGTAATTAACCTTTTTGTGTGAACCATCCCTTTAAATATCTTCAAAATGACCAGAGCCTTTAAAAATTGCTGCTGTTTATAAATCAGCGTCAGTGACCTTTGCGAATGCTCAGTCTTGGTCAAATAGATTAAATAGAGAAAACAAAGCTTCACAGTTTAGATTTTTGATTTAATTTTGATTAATTTTTATCTGTTTTTTATATTTTTGTATTTGCTGTTCGTACTTTACCCATTTTGCAATGAAATGGTCAATTTAAAATAAATATTTTATTTTTTTAATTTTTAACTGATAAATGGAATGATCAGGAAACACTGCTATCCAATTTTTCAGGCATTTAACCAAACATTAAAAGAAGCCTCTGACTACAGGATCAAATTGGACCGAAAACTGGAAAATCCAATCTAACTTAATTAAGGGGATGCAGCTGAAAAACAGCAGAAGGCCAATTCTATTGGAATTAATGGAACCTGTAACAGTGGCTGTGGTGATTTTATAACCTCTTATCAGTGGCATATCAAAACCACTATAAAACATTATGGAAAATATTCCAGAACATTATTAAAATCCTTTAATTGAACAGTTGGGCACATAAAAGCATACTTAACCCTTATGTACTGTTAAGGATGTTTTCATCCACACGGGGATAAACTATCAGCAAATTTATTTTGACATTTATTTTAACAAAATGCTTTGAAATACAAAAAAATAAAAATCAATACATTCTGGGCAAATTTACCTCCCTTTTGTTATGTTTTGTTATGTTCAGGATGAAAACATCCATTAAATTAAACTTTAATGGTCGTTTAATTTTTAGGATGGGGAATTTTTTTTTGCCTTTTTTTTTTTTTTTTTTTGCATAAATCTGTTAATTAACC